AGTGTTATATGCAGAGCATTTACAGTTGCTAAAAATAATAATGGAATAATGTAAGTCTGGGTTGACTTGGGAAGAGAGCTTGTTAAGTCTTGGAATTATTTATTTTCTTGCGAATTTATGCCTCAAGAGATGGAACAAAGAAGCTTCCTGTAAGGCCGACTTCTTTTATCATAGCCATTGTTACACTGTCTACTTCTATTCTCTCAACGTCAATAATGCTTTCAGAGGGGACAAAGTTTTCTTTTCTTTCTCTCTCCTCTTCCTGGGCTTTAATAGAGACGCCCTTCACTCTTCCGTATCTTATTCTCTTCATCAGTCTTGTGGCGTATCCTGCGATCTTGTTTCTTACCTTCTTTCCCTTGATGATGGATGAGCACTCCAGCACATCTCTGTTCTGGTAGAAGTCTAACGTAAGATTTCCGTAGTGCTTCTCTACGAACTGCTTTGATGCATTTTTTATAAGTTTTGTACTAACTCTTCCCATTGGCTGGGGTTGAAAAATTTTAAACTTTTAAAGTAGAACCATTTTATTATACACTTGTATCCGCCTATTTTGTATTTGCATGGCTACAATGGCCCTTGTAATGCTGTATCATATTGTCTCTTCTAGAAAACGACTTGTTGCACTTGGCACTCAAGCACTTGAAGGGCTTTGCTCCCGTGTGGATGATGTAGTGTCTCCGCATTCTGCTCAGAGAAGGAAACTCCTTGGAGCATCCGTGGAAGGTGCATCTGTATATTTTCTTGTTTCCTGTCACTATGCAAGGGAAGTCGATGTCCATTATCTCGCTCTCTCCCTCTGAAGCATGCTCGCTGCTATCTTGCTCTCTGTTCTCTTTTTCCGGCTTTTTTCGCTTCAGCTGCTTCAGCTCTTTTGCTGCACACTTTGCCAAGATGTTGAATGGAATCATGCGTGAGTCTTGTTGCTCCCATTCTTCAAAGCTATCTTCGTAATCTGGCAGATACTTATTGCTTGCGACTTTTGCTGCTTTTCTTTTCTTTACATTCGGTGAATTTTTTGCTCCTCGGCGGTATTCTCTCCCGTTTTGTGTATCGTCCATGTCCTTCCCCTAGCTGTCTTGGCTCTATTATCTGCCGATTTGAAAAATCAATCCAACCATTCTTAACTTAAAATTTCTTGTTTTTTGACCAATTATTATATTTCCAGGATGAAGTATGTCAGCCCCGTGGGAAAAGTCTACAAAAAAGACGGCTTGCTCGATAGGTGGATGGAGATTCCCGAAGAGTATCTGCTAGCTGAAAAAAACTGTCTGTCTGCGGATCCTCTCTCAGCTCACCACGCTTTTTGCTTGAGTCTGAGCAAAGATTCACCGACAATTGCTCTCAATGCAACAGACTCACTGACAATTCTTACTCCCATCGGAGACAAGGAGACATCTCTGCACATTTTGAATATTCTTTTGGAACACAATGCATACATCCCAGGGCACAGCATACTTCAGTCCATCTCTAATGAAGCTATTTTAGCGTCCAGTGAAAGATTCAAATCTTGTATATTCAGTGAAAGCCCGAAAAAGAGTAAAGTGCAAGAGGACTGTGACATAGTCAAGAAAGCCTTGGAAGTGCAAGAGAGGTTGGGCGATATTACATACGCATATGAACAGGTGTCTTTGCTAAAGCTGTCGCAGTACCTTCCCATGTTGGACCAGATGATATTTAATTCTTGGGTTGTATCTGCAAGTGAGTATAAGAAACTAAAAAACTACTTAAAAACCCATCCGCAGACTCTCTATTGCACAGTAAATAGCCTTATTAGCCCGCCTGTAGATATAAGCATGTTTGAGAGGCCTAGAACAGACGAAATACGCAAATACCTAGGGAGTTCTGAGCTGTACTCTACATTCTATGAAACACCTAGATCACCCGATCTTATCTGGGATGCCAGTGCTCCTGGATGTCTTATCAATCTTCCTATTTTAGTAATTGAAGAGATCATCAACAAAACAAAAAAAGAACGAAGGAAGAAGATCATATCGATTGTAAATGAGCACGCACAGGATGTTGGCGTGCAAAGGAATATGTGTTCCTTCTACAGAGAAATATTCAGCAAAGACAGAAACATCCAATACGAGGGAATTCTGCTAGAAATTAGCTTTGAAGCAGAGTACAAAAGGCTCGTAGAGGAACAAAAGCTTCTAAGTGAAACAGAAGAGGGAGAGATAAAATAGGTCCTCTCCTTAGCAATTGTAACTGACCAGCACATTTCTCAGATACCAGGCCAATCCACTCGTTTTTTCAAAGACTGCAAGGACCAGTAAAATTCTATCTCTCAGCACCAATAAAAACTGTTCAATTACCAACCAGCTCAGCATACCGCTAAGTCTCTTGTCTTGTACTCTGCATTCACATTCTAACTCTCCAATGTAATAATTAGTATGAAAAAATCTGCTTAGCCATCTTTCAAGATCAGAAACACTCTTAGCTTTTATGAGGAGCTGATACATTCAGCAATATCCTCTGCTACTTGCCTCTTCCACTGATCTTTCCATGCATTTCCCATTCTGGACATTATTTAATTTTTCTTTAAGCTAATAAATGGCTCTATGCGTCGATTATTTCTTTTTTCATCAGCAATAATTGGAGCCACAAGCTAAAAAGAGGCCAGACTCAAAAGATGCGCTTTCTCTGGCAGTGGCAAAAGAATCTCCGCAGAGCAAGTAAAGGCAGAAGAACAGTAAACACTCGCCAATGACAGTATAGATAAGATAATCGCAAATTTATTTTATTATGCGGTTGCAGTGTGCTTCTTCTTAGATCCTGCTCCTTTGCTGGTAAGAAGGCCTCTCTCTTTCATCATGGCAAAGTATTTAGTTTTCTTTTCTCTACTCTTTCTTTGTCTTTCAATTCTCTCAGAAATTCTGGCTTCCCATCTCTGTATGTGCTTCTCTGTAACCAGCCTCTGGATCTTTGGCTTGACTATTCTTGTTTCTCCGTTCTTCATGGTCTTGGTGTGCCCGACAACGTATGGCTCAAGATCGGTCACATCGCTCGACAGACCGTACAGCCTTCTGATCTTTGTGGCTCTCTTTGGCCCTCTTGGCAGAGGGTTTACAATGTCGTTGAATCCTTCAAAGATGTGCTCTCCCTCCTTGACAACTTTCATGTTGATCACTCCGATCTGGTCGGAAATGACGTCTCCTCTGACACTCTTTCTTCTTCTGAGCCCCTTCTTGGTGCATCTGAATCCGGTGTCGCCCTTCTTCAGCAGCAGTCTCAGTCTGTCGGGGGTCATAAGGCCTTTCTTCATGGGGAATCCTTGCTTGTCTGTTCCACCGGTTATTTGCAGAAGGAAGCCAGCCCACTCTGGAGAGATGATTTCACCCTCCACCACGTCGAGGATTCTTTTCTCGTAGAGCGCGGATTCGACATTGTATTCAACTTCTACAACTTTCTGTGTAGTTCTTCCTGGGTTAGCAATGCTAAGTTTCATGCAGGGACCAAAAAAATAAAAGTAATAATATTTTTGCAAAAATATAGCAGATGCTGAAACAAGAAAATAATAGATATGCACAGCCATAGAGCAGTACAAAAAGTAGCGCAGAAACACAAACACATACACGCACTGCGTTTATTTCTTCTTTTGCTGGTAGTGCCCCATAAGAACATCAGTGGAGGGGTCAAAGCCCAAGGCTGAAACATTCTTCTCCACTTTTGATAGGATCTCTTTTGCTAAGACCTTCCCCAGCTCTACGCCAAACTGGTCGTACGAGTTTATGTCCCACACCTGGCCCTGCACGAATATTTTGTGCTCGTATATGGCTATGAGCATTCCAAGCGTGTACGAAGTGAGTGTGTCGTACATAATAGTGATGGATGGCCTATTTCCAGAGAAGTATCTGTCTCCCTCTTCGCTCTCTTTTCCCATCATGAGCGCTCTGGACTGTGCTAGACAGTTTGAAATAAGAACATCGTGTGCTGTAGATGACCCTTCGGTGCCCTCTGTATTTTTTCTCTTTGTTGCAGCTCGCGGGTTTACTGGGATAAGAAACTCTGAAAGCGTCTTGATGGTTCCCTGGTGGAGGAGCTGGAAGTATGAGTGCTGCGAGTCTGTGCCCACTGTCCCCCAGATAATGGGAGCTGTCTGCTGCCCAGGAATGACGCCCTGCTGCGAGAACTCTGCAGAAATCAGAAGATTGCCGGTTTTTGTAAAAGATTTTCCGTTGCTTTCCATCTCGCACTGCTGGAGATACGATGAAAATAACTTCATGTAGTAGTCGTATGGAACAATGCACTTGTTATTGTACCCGTACTCGTTTATGTATTTGCACTCAACCATTGCGTGCAGCATTGGAATGTTTTCAGCCACTGGGGTGTTCAGAAAGTGAGTGTCAATGTCTGCTGCGCCCCTTAGAAACTCCAGGAATGCATCGAAGCCTATGCTCATTGCTGAGGTAAGGCTGACACAGCTCCATATGGAGTATCTTCCGCCCACATAGTCCCACATGTCCAGAATGTTCTCCTCTTCGATTCCAAACTCCACGGCTTTTTCTTTAGAGGCTGTAACTGCCAAAAAGTGCGATTTTATAATGTCTTTTCTATCAAAGCTTTTGGGGTAGCTACTGAGAAGAGTAGAAACAGCAATCTTCGCATTCTCCAGGGTCTCTTGTGTGGTAAAAGTTTTTGACACAATGACAAATACGGTTTCTTCAAGGTTGATGTTTGTAAGGGCTGCGTGCATCTCCTGTGAGTCCACATTTGAGACGTATCTAAACTGTTTTCCTACATTTGCTGCAGCTGGTGCAACTGCCGATGTAAGGAGCCTTGGGCCCAGGTCGCTTCCTCCTATTCCCACTCCAATGACGTTTTTTATCTGTTTTCCTGAGGCTCCTTTCATTTTCCCGCTTTCAAAGCCGTTGCATATGCTTTTCATCTTCTGCAGCTCAGCAACGATTTCTTTCTCCTCCTTATCCAGGCTGTTCTGTGCTCCGCTCTGCACTGCTTCAATCACTCCCATTGATCGAAGTTTTACGTGCAGAACCTGTCTGTTTTCTGTGTAGTTTATCTTCTCTCCTGCAAACATGCTCTTTACTCTTGCTGCAATGCTCATTTTCTCCAGTCTATCTACCCACTCGGATATATCTGAGTCTTCGATGTGTGTTTTTGTGTAGTCCACGAGAACGCTTCCTCTGTTGCTTTCGATTACTTTTACTAGCTTTTTTACTCTATCTGTGTCCTTAAACAGGTCTTTTATCTCTTTCATACCTATTCTCAAGAACCCATTTCTATTTATACAGAAACCTCTTCTATTATGTTTTGCAATGCACCAATTATTTTCACATGAAACTGATTTGTTGTAGATCTAAGCTCTCTTTCTTCTCTCAACCAATTGCTCAATACCTATAGATCATAGCCCAGCCTTTCTACTAGATCGAACCAAAGAGAAACTCTTTGCAAATTCAAACCACCTGCATATACAATTATAATAGGCAAAACATAAAACAACTTGAAAAATTTGTTTTAAATATATATCTATTTTATTAATCACATTTGCACCTATTGCGCAGCTATCAATTCAGTATGCGTGCAGGCACTTATAATGTCTGAACATTGCATTTCTTATTGCTCGGTATGAGAACACAGAAAGGCCCAGCTGCTCCCAGTCTTCTTCTCTTAGAAGCTTCAGCTCTCCAACTGTTCTTATGTCCTGGCACTTGACCTTCTGCAGCCACACACTAAACAGCTCTGGGCGCCCGTGCTTCTGTGCAGTTTCGAGTAGAAGGTCTTCCACCGTGCTTTCATTCAGGTACTCTTTCATTTCCTCATCAATGCCCAGCATTTTTTCCTTATAAGGCGTATAAGACTCGCCATACAAAATATTTTTCATTGCTCTTGAGGCAAAAACAGGAAGCTTGAGCATCTCCCAGTCCTCCTCCGTAAGCATGCGCAGGTCGCCAACTGTCTTTATATCTTGTTTCCGAAGAAGAACAATCCATCCCTCTGCAGTGCCTTTTGCTCGCTTTACACAGGCTGCTACCTCAAAGACAAACTCGCTTATTTGCTGCGAGTCTTTGAACTCTTTCATCGAGTAGTCGCTGCTGTCCTCTGATGCATCGCTTGGGGTGGAGGAGGGCACTGCAGCCAGAGCATCTTGTGTCTCTTTTATTGGTAGCTCTACAGAATCTGAGTTGGGCAGTGCGTGGCCTTCGTCTTCCTGGGACCTTGACTCATCGTCTGACTTATTTTCGTCTATTTTTATGATGAGATTTTCCATGTGTGCCTTTATCAGCCCGATCTCATTCTCCTCTGCCAGGCCTTCGTCTTCCATCTCCTTCATTACACTATCTACCGTGTCTGCGTTCCTATTGAAACAGAAAGAAACCTTTTTGCTGCTTTTAAAGAAGTGCATTTGGAATGTAAATTTGTTTCGATCTAGCGTAGACGCTTTGACTGCCACTCCTGCGTCGTGGTCGTATATTTCCTCTGTCTTTTTCTGCCCGTGGCCAAACACTGTTTCTTTGTAGTAGATGTCTTCTCCATCCTCTTCATCCAGATAATCAGCAGATGCGCACCTGCACGGCTCTATCTCCTGCTCGTCTTCAGGGTAGAAAAAGTGCATGGCTAGTATCTCTTCCAGCAGATGTGGCGTGTACGGGGAGCCTAAAAGGCCCACTACAACCTCCTTGAAGCAGGGAATGCGAATTTTTATGATCTGCTCAAGTATTTTGTACTGCGCACTCTCGTCTCCCATGTCAATATTGGAGAACATGGGAAGACCCTCGAGTATCTCTCCAGCTCCAAGGGATAGCAGGGCTATGCCTATCTCCCGGGCCCTTTCTTCCTCTGTCTGCACATCCATGATGGCCATTCCAAGAATCTCTTTCCACACAGAGTCATTGTGTATGTAGACAGACCCTTCCTCTGTTATGCTTATGTTGTCTATACAAACTTTTCCTTTTACTTGCGCACTTTCCATGCTCACTGCAGCCTGCAGTATTTTTTTTGAGACTGAGCACAAAAACGAGCTGGGAAGCTCTATGGGCTTTCTGGACAGCAGCGGGCGCAGGAGTGCTGATCCTCTGGTCTCTGTTATGATGGTTAGCATGTTGTCTTTTACCCAGTATGCAAGAACTTTGGGGAGAAACTCCCACTCCAGAAGTCTTTGGCTTTTTTCCAATCTATCAAGAACTTCTTTTTGTGCTGGTATTTCAATCCAATCGACTCTTTTCAGCAAGTGTGCATCCATTCCATTGTATACTGTGAGGTCGCTAATACTTTTTATTTCTCCTCCTTTTATCCATTGCTCGCGGTGTGCGTATACGTCTGCTTCTGTGCTCTTTAGACTACTCTCTATTTCGACACTTTCTCCTTTTTTTGCTGGCTCTTGTTTCATTCCGTAAAAATAAACTTTTAAGATTTAGAGCATTATATGATGGATTATTATTTTATTTACGAAGTTTTCGTTACTTGCAAATTGAAGGAATAACATTCCAAACATGATCACCATACACAAATATTGGAAATGTTTTATAGATAGATGCACACCTCTGCAGAAGTGTATGCATAGCATAGATGATTTAGAGGGCTAGTATGGCAGCTACGAGCATTAAAGATCACTAGAGTCATCCAGTCTGCAGAAATATTCAGATAGGAGAACTACAGAACACTCTTTTCTTCTTAATTTCTCTTTAACCCCATCTTTATTCTTTTTTAGCGCTATTTGTTATTAGGGAGAGTCTCTTATTGTCTATACTACTATCTTCTATGTCTGGCTAGTTTTAATAGTAAATCTGTTTAGAATTAAACTTTTTACTTCTCTAGCACAGACAGAAAAACTGGCAAAGTGTAGACTATTTGCACTGGACAGAGTTTCTTTATTTCAAACAAACTATTATTTTGCACAAATTGGCTAAAATAGAAATACATTTAAAATGCAATGTGTGCGAAGAAGAAAAACACTCTTAATATTTTTTATTGTGGTTTATTGTTGTTCTCTGTTCTTTGGTTAGATCTACACCAATGGCATTCTTACTTCTTTTGGCAATGGAAACAATAAAATCTGCTGGTCGTTTGAGTACTGTACTGAAAATTCAATAAGACAGGCTATAGTCTTGGGAGTATCATTTATTTATCGTAAAAAGTAAATGGACGCAGGAGTGCCCACTGATGAACACTTACACAACTCTGCTTATTATGTTTTCTGTATGGTTATTTCAGAAATCTTTTCTTCTATCTTCTGTATTACCTCCTCTTCTGAAATTATCTTTTCCTTTTCTTCTGACGAGAAAATAAGCTCGTCTTCCTCTTCTTCTTCAAACTCTATTTCGCACGTTGTCTCCTCAGCTACCATTTTAATATACTCGATGTCTTTTTTTGCCAGTTCGTTTCCCGTTAGAATAAACTTTGTAGAGGGCATCTTTCTTAGAACCTCTGCAACGCTCTTCAGAGACTCTTCTGTTATGTCGTTGTACGAAAGATCTATCTCTTTCTCTGGAATCAGCTCGCCCTGCAGCAGTGTGACCGTTGGAATTGCCTGTGCAAATATTTCCACTCCTTTGTCCGACATCATGCAGTCTGCGACATTTAGATACTCTATTGGCCAGTTTGCAATGACAGTGGAGAGCACTGTAGATCCATACTCCAGCAGGAAGTTGTCTGAGACATCCAGCACCCGCATACTCTGTCCTGATAGCGAGTTGAAAAGATCGCCCATGTTCACGCTGCTGATGCTGTTTTGGTATATTTTAAGCGCATCAAAGTGTGGGAAGTGCGACAGGGCTTTTCCCAGCTTGGTGGCGGACTCTTCCAGCCTGTTTCTTCCGACCTCAAGAGACTGCAGCTCTGTGCTCTCTTTTGCAAGGTTCTCCAGCGCCTGGGAGAGAAACTCTCCTCCATCAATTCCTATCCCGTTGTTGTTCATCACCAAATGTTTTACTTTGTGCATTTTCTCCACCAGTGGCACAAGGATCTCCATTCCGTAGAGCGAAAGTGCGTTGTCTGAAATGTCAAAGTATGCTATTTTTTTAAGCGGCAGAAGATGCTCCACAATGCTACTCAAGCTGGCATTCACCTGCTCTTTCACTCTCTGTGTGAAAATGCCTTTGAATATGACAACTTCAATCTCCTTTGCTTTGCTTAGCTCAACCAGAACTTCTTTCAGTGCTTCCGGCGAGAACGAGTTTTCGCTCAAATCTATCCCTCTCAGCGTCTCTGCACTCTTGCGGATGTCCTCTACCAGACTTTTCACGTCTTCTGCTGTGTTATACATCTTTTTCTCCTCTGAAATACTTATAATTTGCATTGCTCAAATTTTTCTGTGCTCCAACATTAATTAATAGTTTCTTTGCCACTGCGTTATCACAGCTGCAGCCCATTTTTAAGCACAGAAATACTTTCTACACTGGCTCCTGCACTACCACTGGATGCTCTACTGCTCTTCTACAAGAGTACAGCTCAAAAATAAAGTATTCTCTACTCTCCTCAAACTATTATTCTCGTGCCTTTCTTGCTTCTTCTGTCTCTACCATGGTGCAGAGCTTGTGCTATCTAAAATTCTTCTCCATTGAAATTTAAGCTTATTTATTAATTGTTGTCAGCTGCTATGTAATACACCTCTTTCCCTGCGTCTGCAGGTGTCTCTGCTATTTCCATTTCTCTGTCCTTTAGAGACTTTTTTGCTGTCCACATCTCAGAGTACTTCAGTTTTATCAAGTCCATTGTTTCTTTTTTCGAGTATGTTTTCACATTCTTTCTTATGTTCTTGTAGAGCTTTTCAAAAGGATCTGCTCTTCTTTTTCCTCTTCTGTTCATTTATTTTTTATAGGAACAAGTTTATATCAGATAAACACTCTGGGTAATATAGGACAAACACAGCTCTTTCGTTGATGAGACGCCCTGCCACCTTCTGGTAGAGCGCCACTGCCTCTTCTTTTGAGGCCAGGCGGATGTACACCCTTCCCTCTAGAGACTCCACTTTCTGCACTCTAAAGTCACTGAAAAATTGGAATATTTCCTCTTCTGGCTCATTTACATTCAGCATACAAATGGTAGCTGTTGGATGCTTAGAGATAAACACCTCAGATGGAAAGTGCACGGGAATGCTATCGAGCTGCATAGAGTATATACTGGAGCTGCGTAGAGGAAGAAGGTTTAATGGAAGGGCATCTATGATAGAAGCAATCCACGGCCTGGATCTTACAACTAGATAAGATCTGCACAAGTGTCTGTGCTCATGGATAGACTCTATCTCAGGCAGGCTCTCTCTTAGATTCTTAAGACTCTTTTCTTTTTCTGTCTGTGCGAATGGTCCAATTATCCGCGTGCATATGAGTGGCTTAATTGGCTGATTTTCAGCGCCAAAGTGTCTGCACTCTTCCTGCAGCTTAAAATACGTTATGTGTGCTATTCCTTCGGTGGTATACTCTCTACCTCCTTGCACACGAGCCCAGGCAGTGAAGGATGTATTTACGCAGGCATCGTATATTTTCAGAAGATCTTCTGGTGCGTCCTCATTCATTTGCAAAATATGTGCAAGGAGAGTGGAGAAATAGAGTACAGAAAAAAGATAGAAAGTGTTTTGAAAAGGCTTATAGAAAGAGAAAGAGTGTACTCCAAAGTCTCGGGGGTTACCTTTGGGTTTATACGCTACAAAAGAGCAATGAAAGAGCTTCTACAGCACGAGGGAAGGATAGAGCATGCGAATGACCTCATTGCAGTAAAACACATCGGAAAAGCTATAATCGACGCAATAAAAAAAGAGCTAGATGAAGCTGGGCCTACTAGCACAAGAGCTTCCTCTGAAAATGAAGAAATAAAAGAAGAGGAAATTATCATTGTAGACCACTCAATGGATAGTATCAATGCAGCAGAAAGAGAAGAAGGTGCAGATGCACATGAAAAAAAGAAAGATGGGAGTTCAAGTGTTTGCACTGCAAAAAATGACGGCGGCATAGAGAAGGATGCATTCTCAGATGCATACACAAAGTGCAATGTGCAGATAAAGCTGAAAAAGAAGCAGACTGGCCATGTGTTCAGTCTCAAGACAAAAGAAGGAAGTGCTAAAATTCCAGTGCCATTTACGCTATGCCATCTTATGGTGCTGAGTCTTTCAAAAGAAGCCTCGCCAGGAAAGTTCACAGATATGGCATCAGTTCGATACCTTTCCCTGGAAAGAGCCCGCAGGAATATTCATATATATGGAAGTAAACTTTTATTCGAATCAACAGAAAAAAGAATAAAGCACTCCGCTAGAATTCTCATGCGCCACGGGCTCATAGAAGAAACTCCATCAGGGCTCTGCATAACAGATGCAGGAAAAGTGGCAGCTGGCATGCTGGAAAGAATGGAAATGCACCAAGAACAGTATAGAAAATACATTAGTACAGACCGCGATTCATCTGGCAGTGTGTCTGTAGATATAAACTCGTCTAGGGACTCTCAAAGAATGAGTGAAAATAAAAATATGTTGCTGATTGACATAAGAGAAAAAAGAACGCGAGAAGATCCTTACTTCTTCCACACGTTTCTCTCCCATGCAGGAGTTGCATCTGAAACCCGGGTTCTTTCCATAGGAGACTTTCTATGGGCGCACATAGACAATATGCAGGAGTACTACAGCAATGTGCTAATGGAAAGAAAAACGATAAGAGATCTTTTGCAGTCGGTGCGCGATGGAAGATACAGAGAGCAGAAAGAAAGGCTGCAGCGCCTCCCTGGAAAAAAGATGTACTGTCTGGAAGGAGGGCTGCCTGCAGACAAAACCGTTCTAAAAATGTTCTACACCGCTACATTCGGTCTGGCAGCAAAGGGCTTTGTGGTTTTGAATCCCTGGAAGATCGAAGAGACTCTGTCTGCCATAGAAACCCTTAGCAAACACATATCTAAAAAAACGGCTAAAAAAGACTTTTTACTTGAAGGTTTATTAATGCATTCGCACAAGAAAAAACTCACCGATTATCCGCACGCTGACAGATCTCTTATCGTACTGCAGGCAATCAGCGGAATTTCCTATGGCGTGGCTGCTAGTATAATAAAAACAGTAGGCGGAGTTCAGGTTCTGATCGAAAAGGGAAAACACCCAACGTCTCTTTTGGAAGAGTTGGCTTCAGTGCCCTCTGCAAACAGAAAAAGAACACTCGGGCACGCAAAGGCCCAGAGAATACTCGATGCACTGGGGCTATAGGAGAAAAATCTCGGGACTGTTTTCCAAAAAGAACTCCAGAAAGTCTTTTAGCCGCTCCATTGTTTCTTTAAAAGTAGCATCTACGATGCTGGACTCGTCATCAATGAAAAAGATGGGAGCAAAAACCACAGCAATGTTTTTAAATCTCAAAGCGCTGTCCTTCCTTGTAATTAACAGGTATAAAAAAGAGCACACTACCTCTAGCAGCTCTATTTTACCGGGGGAAACAATAAACATAAGCAAGAACTTGCAAATGAGTATTTTTTCCTTTTTTTCTGCCAGCTTTCCCACCTTGATGTACAAATTGATGTACTTTGGGGGGAAGAATGGGTTTTTCGTCTTGAGAACCACTTTGTATACCGATGATATAGTTTCCAGCTCAAACTCTTTGAAGTTGTATGTTATGATCTTGATCACCTCCTTGGATCTTTTTTCTTTTTCCTCGGGGCAGCCATTGGCATCCACTGACAGCTTGGGGAACTTGAGATTTACGAGGTTTTTGTAGAGGCTCTTCACCTCTTTTGCTGACGCGCTCTGTCTGAAGAGCTCTGGGTTCTGCTTTAGGTCTATCATCTCAATCACCTGCATGAGTGCTTCAAGATCAGCTGAAACCTGCAGCTTCTTGCTGCAGAAGGTGTAGTTTGTCCTTACCAAGTTGAGGCTCGGATCAGCGCTCTGGCTCTCTCCGTATATCAGGCTTATGAACATGTTGATAACTGCGGTGAGCTTGCTGTTCACGACCTTCTTGTCCGAGTGCTCCAAACTTTCGTCGTGCAGAATTTCGTAAATAAGAGGCTCAGTGAAGAACCTCCCGTATAGCTCGCTGTGCTTGCTAAGCATTGCTTCCTTGTACTCTTCCAGTCTCTCCGCGCTCAAAGAGTTTATAGTGTTCTTCTCTCTCTCTGTTTCGCTCTCCATGTTTTTTTGTATATGTGTGTATTAATCTGTTTCATCTTTAGTATAGACCATTTTTTCTGTCCTGTTCTAGAAGCGCGTCTTCCACCAGGTCTTTCAGCCTTCTTCTGTGCTCTCTGGACTTCATGTGTCTTGCCATTGTGGTGGTCTCCATCACTCTGTCGCATTCTATGCACCGCGAGTGGTTGGGGTTTTCTATGGGCTCGCTTGTCTTCTCGGCCACTCTCTTCCGTATCTCGTCAAAGTCCTTTGCTCTGTTTCGCAGCTTGCAGCCTATGCTCACTGTTCTATGCGTTGATTTTTTATTGTTCGTTGACTTCGATGGTTTTCTTTTCCCCATTCAAAATTTATTTTATGCGCATATACATACTAAATATAGCCCCCAGCGGAGGACACGCAGTAGCTTTGCAGGGATTGGAGAAGAGCACAGGCTCTAGCATTAGCATACAGGTGGAGGGAATTGTAAACGAAGTAACAGCAGCTCCTCTTTCGGAAAAGCCTGAACTCATGGAGAAGCTGGAGAATGAGGTTCTGAAACGGTATGGGAGCGAGCTTGTGCCTCTGGATGGAGCAACTCTGTGCAGGTGGGAGGACAGGAGTATCTGTGTTGACGGTAAAAAGCCCGAGCAGAGTGGAGCAACAGAGAAAAGACTGATCTTCCATCTTCCGTACGCTAAAGCACGAACTATGGCAGATTTAGATGGAGCGAAGAGTATCACCAAAGAGTTCAGCAGCCCAATGGAGGCCTTCATTCTCCTCAAAAAGATAAAGGGCTCTACCCTGGTAGATATTGGTAAAATTGAAAGTGGAGCAGCTCGAATGGAAGCTATAGAAACTCTTGCATACGAAATGCCGGACGTGCGAATAGCTTACATATACTCTTCGCAGCGAAGCTTCTTTGAAACTATCTCGGTCTGCGTCTATAGCTCAAATGAGCACAAGAGACTCTGTGAAAATAGCGCAGAAAATGATAGCAGCTCAGCGCCTTTGAAGAAAAAGCAGAAATTGCAAGAGCCATCCTCATCTGATAGATTTGTGCTTATATCAGAGTCTGAAGATCTGTGTGCATACTGGACCTTCACAACTCTGAAGATAGGCATGCCTTTAGAAGACCTATTAGCTGCTAATATATCGCAGTGTGAGAACTCTGAAGCACTTATTTCCAGATTGAGCAATTTCATCCAAGAGGCAAAAGCAGACATGGTAGCATGCTACAATGTAGACACGAATACCTTTGTGGATAAGATAGAAGGATCTGCGAAGGTTTATGATGCTACATCAAAAAGTAGCTCTGTCTCTAGCGGAGTTAGTCTTGTGTGCGATCTGTCGAGATACATTGAATCAGTTAGCAAGCTTACTGAGTATACTTTAGAAGAAATGTGCAAAACATACTCCATCGCATACAGCACTCTGCCAATAAAAGGGTCTGCACAAATTACAGAAGAGTCCTGTACGCATGCTAAGAACAGCTGTGCATCTAGTGATCCTGTGCTTAGTCTGAACATGTCTCGTATATCGAGCATTGAAATGAATGCAATTTTTAAGAGAGGAAGCTTGTTGGCGCTAGCAGAAAAGCTTGCACGGATTACAGGAGCATCACTTAACTCAATTTTCAATGGATATAAGTCTGATAGAGTGGAGTATCTATTGCTACACCGTATGCGAGATAATAAATATCTCATACCAAAGAGGGCAGTGCATGCAAAGGTTGATGACAAAGACACATACGAAGGCGGACATGTGTTCTTAGAAAAAACTGGACTGTACAGCGAATCTTACATTGCGCTATTTGACTTCAACTCGCTGTATCCCTCAATAATCCAAGAGTACAACGTGTGCTTTAGTACTTCTAACAGCCTTTCAATGGAAAGAGGGGGAGAAGACGAGCCTTCCCTTCTTCCCGGAGCTCTTCGAGATCTTGTGCAGCAGAGATCAGAGATAAAAAAGAAAATACAAGAAAAAGAAGGCAATGTGCAGACCCTGGAGATAGAGCAAAAGGCAGTGAAGCTAGTTGCCAACTGCATCTACGGGTGTTTGGGGTTCAAAGGCTTTAGATTCTATAACAAAAAGATGGCTGCTTTTATTACCGAGTGTGGAAGAAACATTCTAAAAGACACAAAAACAGTTCTAGAGAGCCAAGGGTACAGAGTGATATACGGAGACACTGACTCCGTGATGGTTGACATTGGCATAAAGCCCACAGAGCCTGCGCCTTCTGCCGAGTTTTTATTGAGAATAGCAAACAGCATCAGCTGCAAGTACAGATTTATCAAGCTAGGTTTTGAGAAGATATTTCTAAAGCTGGTGATGCTGGCGAAGAAAAAGTATTTTGGCATCTATTTGTCAAATGGAAAAGAGGAAATAGAAGAGAAAGGCCTGGAAACAGGAAGACGCGACTGGGCAGATGTTGCAAGAGATACCACCAGCCGAGCCATGAAAATTCTGCTGTATTCGAACAGCCCAGAAGAGGAGATACTGTGCATGCTGTCTAAGATCAAAGAAAACATGAAATCTCTCGATAAGGAAAGTTTTCTGATAAGAAAAAAAATACAAAAGAGCCCAGAAAGCTACAACCAGATACAAGCCACGTCTCTACAGCAGGTGTCTCTTGCACTTCGTCTGCAGCAGGAGAAGAACATGATATTCCATGGAGGAGACATTATTTCCTTTGTAATAGCAATGCACAACGGCATTTCTCGTCCTGAGCTTATTTCTGAAAGCGGGGGAATCAACTACGAATACTATATTAAACTGCAGATATTCCCGCCTATACAGAGAATGGTTGAATCTTTCCCCTCCATCTCCATTGAAAACATACAAAAAGTCCTTGGAATGCACAAAGCTAGGGCCAAGGAAGTGCCCCATGCCCATTTAAAAACAGTGCCGCTAGAAATACAGGAAGCTCTGGAAATTGTGACTCTGTGCTGCAAACAAAAACAAGAAATAGGATTGGTGTGTGTTGTGTGCGGTGAAACTTTAAGCACGCTCTTTGTAAAAAATCTTATCCGATCTATAGTGTACAAGGAGAGTGTGAAGCTGCACAGCCTTAAAAAAAGGTGCTCAGTGTGCGAGTCAAAGGAAGAGTATAATCCCGTCTGTCTCGTGTGCCATCTTCCAACAGAGTGGGAGTCTCCATCACTAGAGCATTTCCACAACTTTATGTACAGACTTCGAGAGATATTCTACAAAACAAAAGAAGAAAAATACATTGTGGATCTTCTGGCAATTTCCAACTACCTATCTATCGACATCAGAGCGTTCCCTCTAAATTCATTCTCAGAAAAACTACACATTCCTTCGCTTGTTGGAAGAAGAGATTTACTGGATGAGTTTTTCAAATAAATAAATGAAGATGAAAAATAAGAGCATAGTTTTAAATTTTAAAGCATACAGAAACAAAATAGTTATAGTATAGAATGAATTTATAAATTTAAAAACTTTTACACGCTTATTGAACTTAGCAGCAGACACACAACAGTATTTACAGAACATATGATTTATTTCTCATTGCGCACTATGTAGAAGAGCTATCTGTAGCCTACAACAAGTCTTCTATATCAACATCCACAAACTGTATTTCAATTTCAACCGGTTTTTCTTCTACTACCAGAGCTATTTCAGGGATGGCTCCTGATTTAGATAAATAGTCAAAGAAATCAGCGCAAGGAACCACAGTAAATTCTTTTACTAGCTTTTTCCCAATAACATCGTATCCTTCATTCATTTCATTCTGTGTAACTGTTGCAATCTCTTCATCCAGGGTGCACAGCGTCTTATTGTCTCTAACCGTAATAAGATCTTCACAGTTGTGGCTGCTTATTCTAGGCCTTCTTAGCGCCATTTCTAGCAAGGCAGTGAACTCTGTTTGTTGGCAGTTGCTGGGAGACTGATACTGTGCCTGCGTAGTTTCAGTGCACACTTTTTTAACTGAGTTTTGCTGGGAAGAGGGATGACTCTGGCAAGTATGCTGGGTTACGGTAGTTTGTGTCTGAGAGGGATTGCAGTTTGGAGATTTGCTGTTGCTATAGCTCGTGTATGAAGAGCTCTCTACAGTATCCATTGCTTGTCTGGGAGGATTGCTAGCCTGATAGTTTATCCTAGACTTACTTCTCCTGGTGTCAGAATTTGTAGTTTTATTTGGCTTTTTCTCTGTATAGCTTGAGCTAGATTCTTTATTTTGAGAGGAATTCTTAGACGTAGAGGAGGTTGATGATTTCATCATGGAGCTATCTCTATACTGTGATGAGCTCTTGGATAGATGGCTCTTTTGAATAGGAGCCTTTATCTGTGCAGAAGCTGGTTTCTGAGTCTTTGCATCTTTACTAGATGCAGTGTTAGTTGACCTGGTACTTGATGAGTTTGTAGATGTAGAGGATTTAGAACTTGATGATTTCATGGAAGACATTAAAGAATCTTTTTGATGAAGAGCTGCAGATGGAGATGGAGTGCTTTTTGAATTAGACATCTGTTTTTGTGTTTGCATAGCACTTTTTGAGCTCATGGATGAAGACTTAGAGCTTGATGATGACATATTTTGTTGGGCTGCTTGCTGATGTCTCTGTGGGATACAGTTTGTGTTAGACACTGAAGATCTTGCATTAGAAGACCTTTGACGACACCTATTAGAGATAGATGGTCTTTGAGCATACCGACTGCAGTTTCCATACATTTTTTGTCTCTGTGAAGAGCCTGAAGAGTTTGAACAGTTGAACTTTGAACTAGCTGCAAGTTTTGCAAAGTTTCTTTGACTTTGTGCTGAGTTGGAAAACATTCTTGTGTTGGATTTTGAGGCAGTTGACTGTGCTGTGTTTGATGATGATGTAGAAGACTTTTTGTTTTGGTGCATGCTTTGTCTATCTGTAAGTTTGGCTGAGTGTGCAGTATTCTGTGCTGCATTTTTGCTGTTTGATGAAATATTGGAAGAATTTGCGATTTTTGCATTTGCTGCTGTCTTTTGATTGCCTGCAGGGCTGTAGTAATTAGAGTGCGAGCCAATGGCTGCCTGTCTGTTCAAGTCAACAGTTTCAGATTTACTTTTTTGTGAGTTTTTGCTGTCACCGTCTGTGGCATGTTTATAGGAGTTTATTTTTCCATCTTTTGTTTCCATCGATTTATTCATCATACTTGTGTTGGTCTTACTGGACTCATTGCTACTTTTTTTCATCTGTAATCTACCATTATTGTTGACTAGAGAAGAGCTGCTACTATTTTTCTTGGATGTCTCTGAGCTATTAGCTGCTGAGGTGTATTGCGCCTTGTTGTTCTTGTACGACATGCTTTGCGAGGATGCACTATCTTTTTTGTTAGATGCGCTGCTGCTGTTAGAAGAGTTGTTGACAATAACACCGTTCTTCATTTCAAAGTTGCTGTGTGATTTTGTGCTGTTGGAAGACTCAGAGCTTTTTGTCTCTCTTTTCACCTCTGCTCCATTTTCTTTTGGCATATGGCTCAGGCCAGAGCCTTTAAAAAAGTCTTCAGATGACCCTGTGGGAACTGTGTTTTCTTCTGATTTTACTGCATTCGGAAGTAGAGTGCACAGAACTACTGTGTGTGCTATGCATAAATGTAGCTTCATACTGTTTGATGCTATTTTTTCTTATATATTTGTGGTTTAGATAATGATGAGCAGCAAATGATCTTTTTTGTGATTCTAGGTTTGAGGTTACACAATTAACCAATAGAATCTTTTTATGAAAAACAGAAGAGCTGTTGTCTTACTATCAAAATACGAACTTTAAGATCCCACGAACCAATAGCAAAGAATAAACTTTTTCGTGTACAGTAAAATAAAAATAATTGTGTACAGTCTAAGTATTTATTTAAATACTCTATTTTCTCAAGTCGTAGAGGGGAATATCCTTTAAATTCACTTTGATGTTCATAAAAGAGCCATCTATCATAAGCACCATAAACACTGCATTCTTCTTTGACAGGACTGTTTTTATGTACTCTGATTCGCTGTCTATCTTTCTTATTTTCAGCTGCATGTGGCTGTCTTTTAGCGTAATGGCTTTACACTGGCAGTTACTTGGCAGGACGTCTTCAGACGTAGTTGAGATTAGTGTGATATACTCATTCGACTCGCTAATTGTGTACGGACGGTCAGGAGTGCGGTAGAAATCAATTATGTTCTGTTTTTTTATCTGGACTGGTTTTCTGTCTATCGTAAACATGTGATTTTGTGTAGTAGATCCTAGAACTTTAGAGGAGGTAGTAACTTCTTCTGTGTATATGGGGCTTTCGTTTCTCTTCTTTGACAGCCTTCCACTTACCATAGAGCTATTAGCGTGTCCTTTTGTCACTAGTTTTCCATTCACTAACGTTTGTTCGGTGTTTTGGCTTGTTTGAGAAGACCTCACAGTTCCTGTCATTGTGGTGTTTGGGTCGTTTCCTATGTCCCCATATCCAAATATACTTTCACTTTTCATACCCTTCTGTTTTTCTTTTGGCCTGTGGAGGACATTCTGTTCAGAACGAGAAGAGTGTAGATGTTTGTTTTTTCCTATTTCTAGACAGTTTTGTTCTGAACTGTGCAAGGCTTTCTCATGCTTCTTTTCATCTTCTGTTTTAGCATGAAAGAATCCTTTAACCATGTTCAGTCCGCTTGAAAAAACATGCTTTATGCTTTTAGCAACCTTCTGCACGACAGTAGTTTCTTCAGTTTCTTCTTTAGTTCTTATCTCAGGAGAAGAGCCATGTAGGTGATCTTTACTATGCACAGTGATGCCATGGGTAGAAGATGCTTCTATGTGGTTGCTCAGCTCATTGTCTGTATCTTTTTTAAACACAGAATTGGAGATATCGCTAGATAAAAACTCTCTATCGTGGTCAAATATATCGCTACCACTGTCTTTCTTATTTTCTTTCCTTGTATGTTTGTGCTTCTTCTTTTTTCCAAGCTCAAGTGAGTCACTCGAGTCTTTCTCTTCTTTTTCATTGCTATCAAATTTAAACTCATCGCTCTTGTCAAGCTCCTTATTATGGATAGATTTACATGGCTTATTTGTTTTCTCTTTTTGATCTGTCTTTGTTTTTTTCAAACTATTTTGTGAATTACTCTCCGTTTTTGCAGTGTCTATGTTTTCTACATCTTTCTTTTCTTTGTCTTTTTCAGCTTCATGGCCTCTACTATTGTCTAGACGAGCTGATGTTGGCTTTTCAAGACCGAATACTTCAGCATCGCTGCTTATGTCATCTTTCATGCAGAGTGTATGGACAGCCAGCACTAAAAAACACAATGTGTACCTGTGCAATTTCATAAAACACACTCTGCTTTGCATAAAATACTAGTATCCTTCATGTTTCATAAGAGTTTGCAAAAAATCAGATAGCGGCTCTTCCTTCAATAGAAAACATGTTTTCAATAGAATCACTGTGTTTGGCATTAAGCCAATGCATCTCTGATTAGGAGCACTTCAAACTCTAAAGAATTTGAGATACACTCAACAAGAATCTGTCCATCTAAAGAAGAAAGCCATTTAAAATATTCTAAACACTAGTAAGTCTTACATACAGGTTCTTTTGTGTCTTTATGTATATAGAAATGCTCTCGGGACATTGTATACATACAGAGCAGCTCATAGCATGCATCTTGCACACATTAAAAGCCCAATGTATTACAGAAATAAAAATATATATGTCGACTTATGCAAAATAAATGTTTATAAACAAAATATGTCTTTAAAGCACATAGCCGAATATGTCTTTTCCGAATCATTTATCTTCAGCTATGATTCCATCTTTGTAACACACTCAATGCAAACGAACTACTCTTTTGCCAAAATATACAGATTTCCCAATGTGCTTCTAGAGTCTTTTTCTTTCTACTCCTGTTCGTCGGTGCACGATCTCTCTGTCTCTCTAAACAGCACAAATACGCAAATAACGATAAGCAGCGATACGACACATGAAGAGCATACATATGATATCGAAGAGATAAGCGATCCCTTAGAAAGTAGTAGTATAAAAAGAAGTCTAATGGTAAAAAATGGCGCTTGCAATCAAAGCCTGTGTGTTCCCACTGTGTACATACATGGCCAGCAGGCATTTGCAGTAGAAGATAAAGAGATCGATGGGTTCTATCACAGCACAGATGAGATGAAGCTGTACACGTATATACCCTCAAAGTGCACTATTAAGGAGTATGCTCTTTTTGCCGTAGAAAAAATATACCCCAAGGGACTGTGCTTTCTTTTTCCTGACCACATGACAGTTAATCTTCCTTCGCAAAGCTATACACTTCCTGCAGAGTTTACGAACAACATGAGAATTTCCTTTTTTGAGCACAAAAATACATTGCACAGTGTTTTTTCAAGCAATGGCCTGATTATGTACAAGAACCAGTTCAAGAAGTACCCGGACGGTTTTACTCCCACAAAAATATGGAACAAATATTTCTACATGTATCTTTTCTCCGCGCACAGCAGAAGACTTCTTGTTCTGAACAGAAACCTTGAGATAGAGTACGAAATGGGCGCAACTGATGTTTTTGTTTCAGACGAGTATGTTTTCATCTCCAAGCACAAGAAAACCATAGCACACCGCACAAAAACTTTTTCTTTTTCTTTTCTGTTGGAAGACTTTTCGGTCACAGACGATGTTATATCTGTGGAGACTGTGGGCAATTTAGTGCTGATTTTTACGCTGGAGAAGATTCTAAAGCGCACAACTCCGCTGTTTTCTCTCTTTATCACTGAAATAGATACAGTAAAAAAGACAGTGGTAAAACGCAGCCCTTCTCCTTCTCCAAACAGTCTGTGGGCAGAGCACGGATTCAACATATTTTACCTAGCAGAGAATCCTAAAAAGCCGTATCTTACTACCGGTGTGTTTGATATATCCGTTGCAGTGCGCGGAGATAAGTATCTAGCGTTTGGAGTATCTGCAAACAGTGTGCTTGTTTTTTGGCCTGATAATATGGTGCAGATTCCAATCACAGCCATTGAAAAGCCTTTTTCCTTTACACACAAAAAGAATAACACATCTGTTTTTGTGGGAGTGCCTATCCAAATAGATGCAGAAAAAGGGACTCTTCACATAGTTCGTGAAGGTCTGAGCCAAGAGTGCATCTTCCCCGTGCTCCTTCTTCTCCATGCATCAGGTGTTTTGCCAGGGCCTTATCTATTTTCGCTTTTTTCACAGGTGCCTGAGTACAAAACCAGCATAGAAAGAACGCTGTTTTATTTTCTGCAAACAGAGGACATAGAAGGATTTATAGATATAATAGAGTCCATCAAGATGCATGCAGCTCATATATACGAAGAGGTTGTATCAACGATGCTGAGGCTTCTAGATGAGAAAAACATCGAAAAGCTATACAATGTAATAGACAGGGCGGATGTAAAAGATTTTAAGTGTGCGGTGTCTTTAAGAAAAGCACTGATCCAAGATTTCTCGCTTTTCGAGAGGTTTCTAGACAGCGCCATTGCCCAAAGAAAAGAGCACCTGGTTTTTGAATTTGTTGATTTTGCCAGTAAAATTGAGGACCCTGAGCTGCACAGCAGAATACTTGCTCTTCTTCTTAAGAACACAATGCTGTACACTTCCGGGATGTTTTTGTCAAAAATAAATGTCCCATCTAGAAGCGATGAAATAGAGCGAGACTCACTCGTTGAGACATACATGGCCACCAACAGTATTGTAGAGCAAATAAAGGAGAGAAAAGAGCCCGCAGAAATACTAGAGAGGATTTTCACAGGAAAAGACGCTCTTCTTATAGCAATGGTGGCTGAAAGACTCTGCATCCTCAGCGGAGATAAGCAATAGAAAAGCAGATGTACACTATTATCTCTATTTCAATCAGATCTATCTTATTATTTTCTCACTTAAAAATTCTGCACAATCCAAGCTACTATCAACCAAATATTTGTCTGTCACACTTTCCGCACACAAATTATTCTTCCAACATTGTTCTACTATCTGATCTACACAGCTAATCCAACAGACCTCATCTTCAAATAAAATATTGAGTTTATTAAATTTATCTTATCTTCTCTGTGACTTACCGTTAGTTCTCTTACCACTGAACAAGTGCTTTGGCCTATCTGTAAGATGCATTCTATCGCTCTCGCCCTTTGTGCCTTCCAGCTTCTTCTCTTTAAGGTACTTATCTTTACGCTTGAGGAGTCTCTGCTGGTCTAGTGTCAGCACAACCACGCGGGCTTCCTTGGGCTTCAGTCTGCTGGCCATTGGGTGGTCTATCTCCATGGCGGCTGGCGTGCTGCTTTCTCTCTCCTTGGCCTCTATCTTCTTGCAGAGCGCTGTTGTCTTCATGCGCTCAGGCAGGCTCTCTCTCTGTTTGTCAAGACCCTTGAGTCTCTTGAGTATTTTGGAGTGCACAATTCTCTGTTTTTTGTCCCTCTCTGTCTTGTCCAGCAGGGCGTACTCTCTGTTGTACACCTCCTGCATGTAGTAGTCTTCCTCCTCTTCCAGCTTCTGCAGCTTAGCTTCTATATCTACATCAATATAATCAGCTATGTTCTTTCCGTTGTATATCTCGGGTATTGTATCGTATTTCCACTCGTTCTTTATGAAGTACTGTGCGTTCAGGTCTGAAAAGAACTTCTCTCCTCTTTCTTCTGCTTTCTTTCTCAGGTCGTTCTGCGTCTCCTCTCTCTTTCCAAACTCCTCTGTCTGTGCAACTCTCTTGTAGTCTGGGTCTATGCGCGGCTTTTTGATGTCCAGGAATATTCTGAACTCCTCCAGCCTTTTTTCCTGCATCTTCAGCTCAACTCTGTGCTCCAGCAGATACTCGCACGCTGTGTTCTTCGCCAGGTCTACGTTGTTCTCTTCTAGCGATGATATCTCCACCACCGGGTTGCTTCCTATCAGATCCTTCACATCTCTCTGCAGATCTGCATCGAGCTGGTCGAACTTCTTGATGTCTGACTTGCTCAGGATGAAAATAACAGGCTTTCCTTCAAAGAGCGGGGATAAGCTCTTAAAAAGCCCGATCTGGGCCTGGATGGAGTATCCGCAGGTTTCGCTTATGTCTATGAAGTACAGCACAGCTGCTCGCAAATGGGCCAGCGCAGTGACACTCTGCATTTCAATTGTGTTCATGTCTTCTATGGGGTGGTCTAGCACTCCGGGAGTGTCTATTATCTGCCACCTCAAGTATTTGTAGTCAAAGTGTCCCACGTACAGATTCCTGGTGGTAAATGCATACGGCTGCACATCGACCTTAGCCCTGCTCACTGTGTTCATGAAGCTGCTCTTTCCGACATTGGGGTATCCGCATATCAAAAGCGTACGCGTGGATGGGTCTATGTCGGGCATTCGCATCAGACTCTGTCTCACCTCCTCGAGGTACACAAGCGTCTTTGCGAGTTTCTTGGCCATTGTGGACATCTTTCCAAGAGCTGCTCTTTTAAGCTGTTTGCACCGGTACAGAGAGTCTCCGTACTTAATCAGCTTGGTGTACTCTTTCTCTGTTCTTGTAATGGCAGAGGCAACGGTTTTAATGTGGCCCAGCGCCATTTTGTAGTGGTCTCTGTCGTAGAGCACGTTTATGAGATCAGACGTAAAGGGGTGGGCTTCATCAACTTTTGGGAATGTGTTGAGTATGTCATTGAGCTTTCCTACGTACATAGAAGAGGTGAACTTTACCTTCTTTGTGTAGAATTCTCTTATTCTTCCAATCTGGTAGTGCTTGTGTATTTCGGTGGGGGTTCTTCTGTTGGTTCTAGAAAGGCACGTGTCTATGAGCACTTCGGCAGTAGGAACAGTAGCAATACTTTTCATTATAAAAAATTTGCAACTCAACGTATTTTATTTAAAGAGCATTTAGTGCTACGCATTTAGAAAAATAAATCATCTTTCTGTCTACTAGACTCACTCTCTGTTGCACATCTCGAGAAGAATTTCTGTTTGCATTCTGAGTTTATTTATTGCTTCTTCTATTTCCGCACCACGGCAAAGAGTGGAAGAGACTGAGAAGAAAGAGAGCAGAATATATGCACACTATCGGAGTATTTGGTGCAATAGCTCTTCAACGTGTTCTTCGTGAACTGTTTCATCCATCTTTACATAGTTTGTGCACGCGTGCAGCTCTCCACTTCCTGTGTATATTTTTGAAATGCGCGCACGGGTCTCCAGCTTCTCTGGCACTTCGTATGCGCTTTTATTGAAAATGTACAAAACAATGTCATCAGATGAGAGATCCTCTAGCAAAGACATGCTTTCAAAGCTGTTGGCTCCTGGCGTGTCTACAAGAACCACGCCAGATGATATCTTTTCTTTTTTCACATCAAACGAGGGAATGGTTCTCTGGGACGGACTGTGCTTTCGTGCAAGGGCAAGAAACAGCCGGGTCTTTCCCACGCCCTTGCGCCCAATAAGAACAACCTGTCTCTTTTTCTTCTGTTTTTTGCTAAAGGCCCAGACGGTGGCTGCAATGGCCAGCAGTGCTACAACAATAGCTATGACAACGCTTGTGCTCATTATTTTCTTTTAAAGTAAAACTTAAAAGATTTCTTGTCTTATCTATTGGTCAGTTTGGGTACATATACCCTCCTGGTTTTATATTATATGCACATTAAGGAATGTCTTATAGAGCTCAAAAACTGCCTGATATACTACTTCCTCGGAAAAAAAATAAAGATATCTCTGTGCGGTCTTTCTAAGTCCGGTAAGACATCTTTTTGCAATGCGTACAACGGGCGTAAGGTCCTGAAAAAAGAGCGCCCCACCCATGGATCCAGGAAGAGGCCTTTTGTCAAGAACGGGATACGCGGGATGTTTAACGACATTGGCGGGGCTGTAGAGTACACAAATCTGATGGACTTCAGCTACCGCAGCTCGGATGCTCTTTTCTTTTTTGTGAATGCGTCAGAGCCCTCGGAGTTTTCAAATGCAAAACACATGCTCCTTGGGCTCCTCGACAGAAACAAAAAGGTAAATGTGCCCATCCTCATTATGTGCACACACAACGACATACATGGCTATGCAAAGTGCCAGAACATTGCTCTTGAGATGTGTTTAGACTCTTTTCTTGGAAAAGACATTTCCTGCTACTCGATTTCTTCTCTGACCCTATCAAACTTTGCTGCAGTTGAAGAGTGGATTACAAAGCATGCAAAGTAAAAGGGAGGTGGTGTCTCTTCAGTGGTCTGCTGCTCAGTAGCAAAGGAGACTATGTATATTGCACTGCCTAGATAATAAAGAAGACAGATAGTATAAAGTGTAGATCTTTTTTTGATTTAAGTCTGTGCGCAGTTACTTCTATTTAGATAAATATGGCATAAAAAGAAGAAAAAACGCACACTTCTGTATTCCAAGCACAGGAGATCTTAGAACAATGGAACAAACACACAAACAAACAGTTTGGATTTAGGGATTTCTTTATGTGTTGTTTACAAACAACAAACAATGTTCATAGAAAGCATGAATCAGCCTATAACCAACTGGCTCAATCTCAACTATGCTGCATGCAAGGAAAACTCCATCCCGCGGTGCATTATATACCAGCACTACTGCGAAGACTTCAAACAAAAGGGAATTGAGCCCCTAAACACTGCGATGTTTGGCAAGGTCATTAAAATGGCCTTTCCCTTCATCCGCAGCAGGCGCCTTGGGAACAGAGGAAACTCAAAATACCACTACTTTGGGGTGGCTGCAAAGGGGACTATTATTAATAACGTTGAAAAGGAAACACAAACCGAGAAAATTTTCATCCAAAGGTACGGGGAAATGCACAAGCTCGCACACGACAGCTTTATTGGCGGAAAGTACATGAAAGCATACCAGGAAATGAAGTCCTTCTGGGCAGAAAACATTGCGACCTTTGCCACAAGCAGGAACATAGAGAGAGTCTGCAACCTAATCGAAAGAGAGTTCTTTGGAATGCTTCTATCCAAGGCGATCAGCACCGATTCCATCTTGGATCTAAATCGAGAAGTAGCGCCTGAAAGCATCACATTCGTTAAAACCACAGCTAAAACCATAATTCTCATGTGCAGACAGATATATCCCCTTACAAATACGCGGGGAGTCCTCCTGCGAATGGACTGCTACAAACAGTATGCAGCTGTGCTCAACAGCGTAGGAAACATACAAAAGTATGTGAATGTTCTTCAGACCAAATACCCTGCGCGGCTGGAATTAGAGGAGTACCGCAGTTTTATCTCCACAGGGCTGTGCATAGTGCACGATAGCATCTCTCTAGACAAAAGCAGCTTGATACACGCATGCGCCACTAGCCTCATTTCCCTGTATATGTCCTCCAGCACTTTCCAGGAGTTTCTTGCGGATGTAGATAGCCATGTCACGAGTCTTCTGTACAGAAAAGAAAAGATTCCACAGGACTTGGTTGCTCTGTACTTCTCGGGGCTTCTTCAGGAGTGTGTGGCCTTTGGCCTTCCCTGCACTGACTTCATTGTTTCTCTGTTTAGTTTTTTCTCGGAGCATTTCTCCCTTGTAAATAGCAGTCTGTGCGAGCTTTCCTTGAAAAGAAGAGAGTCTGTCTCTTCGCACGTAGCGGTAGCTGATGCCCCCATAGAAGAAAAATCGTTTGTATCAAAGATCATAAAACAGTGCTAGCTGCGAAGATAAATAAAACAAAGTATGATTAAACTTTTATCAATATGCTCATGGGACAGGTTGTGCGGCTAGATTCCTATGCGAAGCGAGTTGTAAACTGCTCTATTGTATGCAGTGCTGTGGCTCTTGTTAAGAACAAGGGCGTGATTTCTTTTCTTACTTTTAGTGTTTTCTCCAGCTCTTCTGATTCTGAGAGAAAAACATTTCACAGAATTTGCATAGGCGCTGTTATTAGCGCAAACGGATTCTCTAACACTGTGGATGCACGCCAAGTATTTGCATGCACGAGAAACATCAAGATACATGATCTAAATACAGTGCCGTCTGAAATATTCGAGCCTACAACCGATGTGTACACGCCTTTCTCGCAGATGCTGAAGAACAACTATGCCCAGGCAATGCTTCTTATAGTAAAAACCGTTTCAAGCGATAAAGGCTATTGCATATACTGTGTGGACACAGAAGGAAGGTATTTCCGTGTTTTACTGTGCTCTGCAAGCCACACTATCAAACACCAGGACGTTATCCTGCTTACAGATGTAATTGTAAGAACAGGAGACCATCGCACGGTGTACACCCAGCATCTTTCTACCATAGAGGTAAATCCCAGTATTAGAAATGAAAAAGTAGCAGCTGCCCGCAATAAGCTAGCTTTCAAGAGCATTGAGGTAGAAAGCATGGACGAGATAAACAGGATAGAAGAAGACACAAGCATTTCTCTAAAGGGGAGGATCCTTAGAATCTCTATGAGCAAAAACACAATCACAATTGCAAACCACGCGGGCGGAATCCAGGTGAAGATGGAAAAAGACAGACTTACACAGCTACTTCAGCAGATAGTGAGGGACTACAAATACAAGTGCACGGAAGATCTCTGGCCTGACTTAGTCTTCTTCAAAGTCCTTCTTACAGCTGACATTGTTCTGCTGAATAAGTCATTTACCATTCAAAATATGGCTGTTGCTCTTCTCCTATAGAAGGATAATAGATGCTGGAATATATGTGCATTAAAAAGACTAATGGCATTATTTTATTTCACTTGTAGATATTGCGAATACAAAAAAAATAAAGAGTAAAGTAAAAAATAAAGTACGGCTTTTATTCAGATGTATTTACAATTGGAGACTCAATGTCTTAAGAAAAATTAATTATTAAGTGAGCGCAGAATACTTCACTGTGCTTCTAGTAGGCCTTCTTTGGCGAAATAAACAACCAAACAACCTGAAACACTGTCTATATGTAGCATAGAGATATGAAAATAATGAGAAAGCTTGTATTTACTGTGCTTGCACTGGGTGCTATGTGTAAGGCAAAGGAGCACCACCCGCACGAGCATGCAGGAAAAAGACTAGTGGACAACCTCCAAGATAGTGCAAAGTGGTTTAAAAACCGCTTAAAAAGCAGCAGCAATCTGCGAGAGGATGAAGACGAGAGATACTATTCAGACAGACACACGCCCCATAGAAACCACTCTGAAGATGACTGCTCTCCTGAAGAAACACTAGAGCGCCTGGCGCACCACATCAAACAAGGCCATTCTCTGTCAGATCTGCAGAGGCTGGGGGACAGATGCCTAAACAAATACTTTAACGAAGAAAATGACCTTCCACTGAATAAAAGCCCTTTTCACGACAGAGAATCAAATAAGTATGGAGATGAGGAAGAGTCAATGCACCCGTCAGATGGCCAAGAAAAAAAAAGAAACAGATCATTAGGGAGAAGGAAAAGCAATGCTCCCAGGAATATATACTGTGTTCCTCCAATTGACGAAACCTTTGACTCAGACTGCATGCCGCCCAGACACAGAGACAGACGCCACAGCTACCATGCACCAAATGACACAGAAAGAGCTCCTCCGGGCAGTGTAGCATATAGTCTCCGTGGATTATTGAGCAGAGGCAAGCGCAGATTGAAAGAGATATCAAAGCCACTCTCCTCTAGAGAGCCATCAAATAACAATCCAGATTATCCCAGCAGCAATAACAATAGCAATAGGAGCGATAGCTACAACGATAATGAAAATGATCAAAATAATTACAATGACTATAACCATAATAATACTCATAACAATACTCATAAAAATTATAATGAGAACAATAGTAACGGTTATACTGAAAATAGCTCAGAGAAACACGAAAAAGATGATGACTCTTCTCCAGCTATGCCGATGTACTGCTCAATGGGGCCTGATAAAATAGTCCCATACATCATTGCGTACGGCCCTCCAGATGAAAGAAAGCGTCGAGTCTTCATCAACTTTCTAAGCGAGGAAATAAACTCATATAGCAGCAAACACGAGACAAACCCGCTGAAAAGGCTTAATGTTACAGACACTGTTCTTTCCAGCCCTCTTACGTACGCAGACCTCTCTGGCATAGTTTCAAAGATCCAGCGGATGTCCTCTTTTACAAAGATAGTGCACATATCCGTCAACGACACGCCGATTCTTCGTGTGAATCGCGAGTATCTTCTGCATCCGATGTGCAACGAAGGAGCCTTATGTCTAGCAGGGAACAAGTGTACAATTACCTCACCTAAACAGTGCAAAAACAAGACAGTGTGTGTTTCTCCCACAGTTGAGAACTTTCTAAAGTCAATACCAAAAGATAAGTCTAATAACAGCGCAACAATGACTGTTTACAACGCACGCAGCAGACAGTTTGTCGTTGAGAACGTGTTCCTACAGGCTAAAAGGATAGAGTACTCAGAGTCTATGGACTATGCAGAAGTAGAAGCACCTCTGCTAGAAAGCTCGCCGGTCTGCGAAGAGACTGTCAAAAAAATACAGAATGCAATTCTTACGAGCAAGTTCGCGTCTGCGCATCATGGGAGAGTTCCTCAGACCGCATACATTATTGAGTCCAACAACACCCGAGGCTTCATTGTCTTCCTTCTGATCAAACAGATTTTAGAAGAAGAAAGCCGAGAGCCTATAAGTAGCAGCGTGAAGCAGCAGATGGCCAGGATATACTTAGACATATTCAAAGAAGAAGTGGGAGAAGATCTGATAGAAACAATGGCACTCCAGGACATAAACAGGATTGTAGATGTGTTGAACCGGTCAAAGAGATTCTCCAGTGCAAAGGGTGATGAGCACAAAGAGAGCAGAGACTATCCATCAGATCATTCTTCGCACCATTTGAATAGAAATAACCAGAGCTGGCACATACACTCAAATAATAACCAACATAGACACAACAACAATAGAAATGATGAACGCCATTATAACAGGAATAGAGGTAGCCATAATAGAGGAGACGAAGAGTACTGAGATAAAGCATGCAAGACCACTTAGATCTCTGCTGTTCTGCTCTCTCATAAAGAGTAATCTTTTCTACTTCTATTTATATTTATTGCTTTACAAGGAAATAGCTGATATGATTATACTAATAATAACCAGCTTTTATTTAAGTGTGCAGAGAAGCATGGGCTTACCTCAATAAAATTGTTTATACTTTAAAATTAAATGTACACATTTTATATTCGTAGAGATTGAAACATCTGCGTGCAAAGATTTATTACAGCATAGCCCTTTAGTGACAGCAAATATCTACTAGCATACATCATGCGTGTGTACACTATACATACAAAGAAAATAGATATAGATAGTTATGTATATTGATGTATGATCTTATAGTAAGTAATGGTATGATGGATACATGCTATATGGATGATAGGCTCATTGCAGAGAGATACATTGCCATCTGGATACTAGCAGAAATACTAGTTGGAGTTCTGCAAGAACGTGAGCTGCTTGTGAATTACTGCTATTTGCTCGAAACAAGGGTTGTATCGCAGAGAGGTGATGAGAGACCCGTCATTTACAGAGAAAATGGGCACACTTTTTGTTTCGGGAATAGTAGCCATGGAGATCTCGCTGGGCCCTGTGGTGTATATGAAGGATCTGCTGTCCTGCGTAAAACACCCGCCCATGGAAAATTCGCTAGGTAGATACAGTGTTACGTCCCCACTGAATCCATCTGCAATGCTAAATCCATCTTCCTGGAATAAAACCATTCCAAAGCCATCTGGAGAGAAGTGCATATCGCTGTACCCACTGGCTGCTATTTTCTTTGTTTTGTATGGCCCTGCTGTGTAGGACCGCACATCGTACAAAGCCATTTCATTTCTCTCTTCAAAGAGTATCATGAATATTTTCCCATCTGGTGAGTATTTGACTATGGGCTTGCCCTGCACAGGAATTTTTGCGTGCGGGTTCTTCTCTCGGATGTCCCACATGTAGGCTTCATTCGAGGCAGCAGATATTGTATTGCGAAACATCGAAGAAGTAGACACGCTGTACACAGGCGATGTGTGCGCGGAGAAAAGGCTGACATACTCTTCTTTTTTCAAGTTCACCACTTCCAGATTAGCCCCAGAGGTGTGCACCAGCAGCTCAGAGTCCAAGAACTCCACTAGAAAAGGCTCTTTAGCAGAGGTTTTCAGAGGTGCAAACTGCTTGTTCTTGACTGCGTTGTGAAAGACCAGATCGCCAGAGTCCAGAGCGCAGGCGAGAAGCTCTCCAGACTTTGCGTACGAAGCATCCACCACGCTGCCCGACATTGGCGCAGCTGCATAGGAAATAAGCGCAGACTCAGAGATACTGCTGTTCATTCTTATTGGCGCCCGATAAATATTTTTTTATAAATGGATAACAGTCAGCAGTATACGGCAGGCGAAATGGAGATAAACTCCGAGCTCATTATCAAAGCAAAAGAAGCACTAACGACCAATAACGGAGAGAAACTCACACACTCTGGGAATTGGCCTCTTCTTCTAAAGGGGCTCGAAGACATGAACGTTAAATCTTTGAAATACACAGCAACCCCCTGCGGGTACTCCCCGCACGAGAGGCCTCTAGACGTGTACTTGGAGTACGGAATAATAAATCTGGATAAACCGTGCAATCCCTCATCGCACGAAGTTGTGTCTTGGATAAAAAGCATTCTGCGATGCGAAAGAACCGGGCACTCTGGCACCCTGGATCCCATGGTTTCAGGATGTCTTCCCGTCTGTCTCAACAAGGCCACTCGAGTGGCTAAGTGCCAGCAGGACGCAGGAAAAGAGTACATAGCTGTGGTTAAATTTGAAAAAGACGTAACAAAGCAGCAGTTCATAGACGCGATGAATCTGTATGTGGGCCCTCTGCTGCAGAGACCGCCTGAGCAGTGTGCAGTGAAGAGAAACCTGAGAATCAGAAAGGTACACGAGGTAGAGTATCTTGACTTTGATGAAAAGAAGCAGCTTGGTATGTTCAGAGTGGCATGCGAGGCAGGAACGTACATCAGATCGCTGTGCACACACTTGGGGCTTCATCTCGGGGTGAAATCAGAGATGGTGGATCTGAGAAGAAGCAGAAGCGGAGTTGTAACGGAGAGCAATCTTGTAACCATGCATGATGTTCTTGATGCTAAGTATCTGTACGACCAAAAAAGAGACGAGTCTTATCTACGTGCAATAGTCCAGCCGCTTGAAAGCCTTCTTGTTGCGTATCCAAGAATCATCATAAAGGATAGCTGCATCAACTCCATCTGCTATGGGGGACAGCTGACAGCCAAGGGCATTCTCAGATACGGGGACTTCAACCACAAGGACACAGTGCTTCTAGTCTCGCCCAAGGGAGAGGCTGTGGCGCTAGGCGTGGCACTAGTTACCTCCCCGCAGCTGAGCATGATGGAGCACGGGATTGTCTGCAGAACAAAGAAGGTGATAATGTCCAAAGACACATACCAAAGACAGTGGAAGCTTGGGCCGCAGGCGCACAAAAACGAAGAAGAACGGGAAGAGCAAGAGTCTGCCACAGAAAAGAAACACTCTGAAAACAAAGTAGAGTCCCATGCCTCCAAGAGCCACGAGAAGAAGGAAAAGAGAAAGGGGTCAGACGAAAGAGAAGGCTCCTTCCTTAAGAAAAGCAAAAAAGAGTTTTCATAGGCTCTTGAACACCACTAACAATAAACCAACTAAGACTTTTACGATGCACAAAGTGAGCAATATTAATAGCTAAATATTTTTTTAATGCATGTTCGAACTGAAAATAGGCAAGAGTTCTAGCGAGCAAAAGGAAGACAAGCCAATTGGCGGACAGTGCACCTTTGTTTTCTTCAAGAAGCTTCTGGAGGGGCTCCACGAGATTGTAAAGCAGCTCGAGATGAAGGTTACGAACGAGGGAATATACATACAGGCCATGGACAACATGCAGGTAAGCATGGTGGACATTTTCCTGAAGAGCTCTGCGTTCGAGAGCTTCAGATGCGACAAGAATCTTGTCCTAGGGGTGCCTCTGCAGTTCATTCTCAAGGTCTTCAAGAGTCTTCCTGTGGAGGACAACTTGTCTGTGCTTCTGTCGGCAAATGACGAGGCAACTGATCTGCACATTGTCTGCGAGGACGGCGGAAAGAAGTACAGCTCGCACCTAAATCTGATAGACGTTGGGAGCGATGAGTACACGTTCCCCGTTGTTGAGTATCCTGCGGTCATCAGCTTCATGTCTTCTGAGTTCCAGAAGGTCGTTAGAACTCTGGGCGCCTTTGGGGACGTGCTGAAGATATCTGCAAATGAGAAAGGGTTTGTCTTCCAGCAGCGGTCTGACTTTGGAAACACCGAGGTTTCTTTCTCAGTGAAGGAAGAGAACGAGAATGCTGAGAACAATGACTTTATGATACAGGTGCAGGAGAGTGTAGAGCTTACGATACCGTACAAACACGTCTCGCTGTTCAGCAAGTTCGGCACACTTGGAGCTAAGATCACGCTAAGCATGGCAATGGGAATGCCTGTGTATTTGACATCTGTCATGAATGTTGGATATCTTAGATACTACATTGCCCCAAGGGATGATGAATAAATTATTTTATCATGAAAAGTATAGGTTGGATTTATTCTCTGTTGCACAGGAGTACATGTATAGTGGTGGGCTTTGTTTTGCTAGCGACCAAAACGTATCCAGATATCTCTTTGTGCGTATCTGGTGATCTTTTATTGAACATGTGATAGATGATGGGGACCTTTTTGTAGAATGACACGGTTTGCATTGAGATGTTGGCAGGCATATTATCGCTAACATGCGGTAGGGCATCGCTCTTTGGGCTCAGTATCGAGAAAGTGGCATCATCAAAGGCTATTACTTTCGTATCAAGGTTCGTGTAGTAAGGCTTTATCGGTAGATTGAGAAGTTCGTCGTATATTCTGTCTGTTTCTTTGAATGAAAAGATAGCCTCTTTTTCTCCAATGATGCTATCGATTGTTTGGCTGCTTGTGCAAGGGACAGCCATCTTATCTGCGCTTTGTTGTACACTGCTGGCAGGCATAGATGCACTGCCTTCTTTCTCGATAGAAAGGGTGCTGTTAGAAGATTTCTCTGTATATTTCTGTTCTTCATTGGAAACCCGTTTAGCACAGGGCTCTTCACTGCTGTGAGGTCTTTTGGCAGCTGGCTCCTTCTCATCTGAGAGAATATCTTCATCGATAATAATAGGGTCGTAATGAGCGCTGTGGAAAGAAGAAGGCTCTTCTAATTCAGTTAGCAATGGTTTTAGTTTATGTCCAAAACTGTCTTTTTCTCCAGTATACTCATGCTCTCCTTCCTCTGTCTGTTTTTCTTCTAGAGAAGGATAATTGCCAATGCTACTATTTTCTAAGTGATCGTCTAGTTTGTTGATTTTTCTAGCAACGGTATTTACAAAGTGCTTGCTGTTCAGGAGTTTGTACGCGCCAAACAGCATTTGCACTTCTTTTGGTATGTTGCTAGTCCATTTAAAGATTGAGCTTCTGCTGACGTCTGCTATGATGAAGGCCTGGTCTATTTTCTTCACCTTAAGGTTGAAAATGCACACACATGTGTCCTTTTTTGGAAGTTCTTCTATTTCTCTTGCCCACACGCGAACTCTCAGCTGTCTATCGGTGCTTGGATCGCACACCAAAAGGTTTGTGAGGATGGAGTTCCCAGAGATCTGTTTTATGTACACATACGCTGTAAAGAGCAGGTCTAGCTTTGTCACAGTGGAGAGTATCCTTGGGCTCTCTGTGATCTCGTTGTAAAAATGCTTGTGTATTCTCTCAAGCTCCTCTGTCTCGCTGGGACTTCCTACGTACTCCATCCCACTGCACTCGAAGTATGGCACATGGGACATTCTCTCCTTCTTTGCCTTAAAAAAGAAGCATCCTTTTTTTCTGTCTACGAGATAGCACGCCCGTGTTTCTCTCTGTTTCATGTTCAAGTTTTCTATTTTAATGACGGTTTCTCTTTCGATGATTTCCTTTGGAAAGCTTTCTTGGCTGCTGAAAAAGAGCTGCACAGGAATCTTTTGCTTGCTTGACTCGTCTCTGATGGTTATAATCATCTGGTAGTCCGACCCGTGTGTCTTTTTAGGCGCTATATACGACAGTACAAACCCAAACACAGAAGTGTTGGTGCCTTCTACAATGTCCTTAATGTATGTTCTATTTTGCATGCTGTTTGCTATTTTTATTTTTTTGCATGCTCTATGGATTTAAATTTAGTGGTGGCATGAACAAGTAAAAGCATAAAAATCAAAAGATGTAATTTTAAACACAAATTGCTTTTGTCCTCTCTGGGAAGCAAAGGATAAAAATGATAATTCACACGCATATATATCCAGATGAAAAAGTAGAGCTATGAAGATTTTACTAGGTGCTTACTTTCTATATGCTATCGCAGGATGTGCAATGGCAGGGAGTGAAGGGAAAAATACCAGAGAGCATTTGTTTGCAGAAATGAAGAATGCAGGCGGATCCTTTGACTACATCTCACTTAAAAACATAAAAGGTCTTATGCCTGCTGGATACGAATTGAGACAGATGATGGATGCTCAGGATGTTATTTCGCTCAGATTCTCGCCCAGACACTTGCGCTTTTTTGAATTTATACAGAGGGGCCCTTCGGAGATTGGGAGCAAAGAGTGGTATTATAGAGCACAGGACATTAGCTCGTTTGATAGCATTTCCGAGGTTGTTCGGGTGTTTATGGATGATGCCTGCCAGTACCCAATCTATAAAGGCAGATATATTGAGGCTGAGCTTGTGAAGAGAACAGAAAAGATCCTGGAGGCACAGAAAAACTACTGGCTTGGGTATATGCTGGTGTCAGCCATGAGCAGTATTCCCGAATTTTTGGAGGTGGTGAGAGTGCAAAACAAAAGCGTGTTTTTTGATACTAGCTCAGATGAGGCTTTTTCGAAGTTCATTTCTCATTTCTGCGCAAATGTAACGGGAATGTTTTTGAAAGAGAAAACTCTGTTTGAAGAGACTATTAATTTCTTGAAGGGAGAAAACTACAATGCGATGTGCAGTTTTCTGCTCGAGTTCTTTGATATCTTTAAAGGAAACCTAACAACTTTGGAGGACCGTGTTGCCTATATGGTAGGTCTTTTAAACGATAAGTGTGTTGCCGAAGTGTTCAGAATGTATAGACAGTACCGAGAGAATCCAAACATTATCAAACTAGTGATTTCAACTGATCTTATCAAGAACTTTGTGTCTGATGCAGGAGCAGTTTTATACTTTAAGTCGCCATTTGCATCGGTTGAAAAGAGACAGGAAGTAGAGATAAGAAACTACATAGATTATTTTATAAGGGAAATGAAGAAAGAAGGAGAGACAGCTGGAAATACTCCGAAAAAAGAGGTCTTGAAAGAAAACAAGTACAGTATGCATGATGTAGATTCTATGCTTAGACCATATGATGAAGAAACATACTTATTAGTAAAAAACCTGAGTAGCATAGTAGAGGAGAATGGGAGTACTGTTAAAAACGAAGAAAACAGAGAGAATGCAGAAGAGTCTGAATTAGATTCAAAGGACGAGAGTAAAAAAGAGCTCCATAAAGAAGAAAAGAAAAAGAATAAAAAACACAGGAAATCTAAAGAAGACAAAGGCATGAGCTGGTTTAAAAAGAAACTGGGAATGAAAAGCTCTGATGCAAAGAAGACAGATGCATCTCTCGATCAGGTAGATAATGTAACGATGAAAGAAGATGCATCGGAAGATGAAAGGTCTGAAGATAGAAGCACTACTCAAGATACAAACGAAAAATCAACCTTACCAGGGGATAGCTACAAACAGGAGAGTATAGCGGACGACAGCAAGAGTAAAAGTAAAAGCACAGTTCCAAATGCCACAGAGATTCTGAGCCTAATGAACATTGAAAGACAAAAGAAAACAGACAATGAGTATAGTAAACACAAAAATAAAAGCTTGCCACCAAATGCCACTGCATCCCAGGACTTAATTACAACAGAGGCAAGACAACATAGTGAAATGCCTCTACCGTCTAGCAAAATGAAGAGAAGTGCTTTGATGATGGAAAAGAGCACAAGAGATGCAGATCTTATGTACATGAATGACTACGAAAGAGATGGGCCTGTGCTAGTGGATGTTGACGCTACAGACATGAGAAATAGCGTTGCACAGTCTCTAGGCTACAATGAATACGGAGGAGTGTATAACTACGCTGAGGAGCAGCCTGCTGACCGATACACAGACACTTCTCTGGAGATAAATAGGACTGTGTCCAGAAGCCAAGCAAATAACCCGCTAATAAATAATGACTTCTCGAATGATGCATATTTGCACTCAAGAAACAGATACAACCACTCGCCTGCCTCTTCAGTCAGCAATGTAAGCGAAAGAGCACATACTATCAGAAACGCCAAAGAAGATGTGATTACCCATAGCAAAGAGGTGCTGGAGGCTATGGAGGGTGGTGAATCATTTTTAAATGAGATGGAAGAGACAAATAGGTCTGATGTGTATGTATGGGATTCGAATGTGTTCAATGAAGTGTATGCTAATGATATTGACGAGATAAGAGAAAACAACGAACTCCGCACCACCAATTCCTCGCGCCAGTCAGATCGATACATAAACGTGGCTGGTGTGGATATCAAGTTTTTCGGTCCCAGAGAAGGAGTTGATCTAAAAGAAGAAGTGTGGAGGCGAACAGCTGAAAGGAACGATGAGCGCATGAAAAATGCAAGGTCCAGTTCATTTCCTGATTTAGCGCATACTACAGCATTCCATGAGCTTAGCAGCTAAAGATGAATGTGTGCTCTATTGGCAGTGGCAAAGAAAGGAATTTACTCGAGTCTCATCTGTTTATAGCACTGATTATCAATATCGGTCTAACTACCTGGCTGCTGAGGTAAATAAAGGTGCTATTTCATTCATGTTTTATGCAATGTGTACATTTTTGTATTCACACAGCTCTCAAGTATAGTTGTTTTTAGTGCATCTCAGAAAAATGTAAAATTAAAAATTAGTGTAGGTATTTAAACTAAATTTATGCATTTATTTATTTTGGAATTATGTCGTATAAAGGAAACACAATTATAATATCCGGAAATTTGCCCATACACAGCAAGGATGGAGACCTCGGATACTATGCGCCGTCTTGTTCTTCTGTGGCAGCGTCGATGCTCTATGGTGTCTCTGAAGAAATGAGAGAAAACACGATCATTATTGGAATTGCCAATCCAGAGGGTATGCCCTCGTACAAGAACATACAGCCCAGCGAGTTCAGATTCTTGCCTGTAGAAACATCAAAAAGGCCGAAGGATCTTATCTTCTCGCAGCATCTGTCGCAGGCATGCCATCATGCCCTTGGGAACAGTGCTTTGTTCCCGCAGGACCTAGAAGAGCCTTATAACGACTATCTCCAATTTAACCAAGAGTTCCTGTGCTCTCTTAAAACAGTGTATTCATCCAAAGACACAATTATTATTCTCGGAAAGCACCTTCTAATGCTGCCATCGCTTATTAGAAAAGAGTTTCCAATGGCAAAGATATCACTTGTCTTCCTCTGTCCATTCCCACCGTATGAGCTGTTTAGCTGCATACCATACTCAAAGGAGGTTCTACTATCTCTATTGGCATGCGACAAATTGGAGCTCCAGAACAGCGACTATCTTGAGAACTTTATATCAACAGCTTTTCTGTCGATCAACGCACAGAATAAGGAGGTATCTGAGCAAATGCTTGAGTCTATAAGGGGAAACCCAAGCCTTGTCTTTGTCAGCAAGCCAGACACCATCTGCAAAGGCGAAAACAAGGAGCTGCTGCTTCCCTGTGCGGAGGATGGAAGGGACATGCTGTCGCTTCTCACAACCTCGTATAAAACTAATGTCCACAGAGTGGATCAAAGAAGTTTGCAGGGTCCTGTGTCTATAAATGACACCGAATGCACAGAAACAAGCGAGTATCTAGAAGACGTTATGCCAGTGGTTCAGAGATTGCACAAATCTTCAAAAGGAAGCAAGACATACATTGTGTATGCAGAGAACTCTAGAGTGCTGGTTTCTGTTACTCCAAAAACTGTGCCAAAAGAGTTTATTAAAAAGGTGATGGAGCTGGAGGAGTGCACGGCAGTTTATGCAAAGATTGCTGAGGTAAAAAAAGACCGAAAGCTTGTGCTGATACTGGAAACGACGCGCAAGATAGGAACACCGGTGCACAACCTTCTTTCTGTCCTCAAGTACCTGAAGAAGAATCCAGATACAAATGTAGACTTTGTTCGGTGTGTGGTGTATGGCGAAAGCGTGGCGTACCATAATACAGAGCTGTCTGGGCTTGCAGAGAGAATTACCTCTCTATACCCAAGCAGATTCTCTACGATTATATTCCCGCAGCTGTACTTATATTTCTCGCTGCTTTCTCTGGCAGATGTGTGTGTGGCAGGCTCACCGACTGATTCAATGTCTCTTGCAGCCAACGAGTATCTTGAGCTGAACCCCAAGGGAAGGCTTATTGTTCCATACTCTTCGGGTATTTCCTTTGAGCACGCTCTTTACACCCTTAACTGCCCCGATATAACTGCAAATGTTATTGCACAGGCACTGGAGAAAGAAGGAGAGGCGGAAGTACTGGAGAGCACTCAAAACTGGATCTCTTCCTTGCAGTGCACGCTCAAGACAGATCTAAGCTACGACGTTGAAAAGACCGATAAGATACCTGTGCACATATGCAAAGACATTTTGCAAGAAAAGGAAGAGATAAAAAAAGCATATATCAGCTCAGAGCAAAGAATGATATTCCTAGACTATGATGGGACTCTGACAGACATTGTTCCAAACCCCAGAGATGCCAAGCCAACGGAAGAAATACTGGGGATGCTTCAGAGGCTGCAGGAGGATGAGAAAAACACTGTATTCATAGTCACTGGAAGAGGCAAAGAAGAGGCCGAGGAGTGGTTTGGCCACCTTGGCATTAAAATATACGCAGAGCATGGGACGTACAAAAAAGAGAATGGAGCGTGGAGTGAAGTGCCCTGCGATCTTTCATGGAAGCCAGACGCGATCAAAATAATAGAAGAGTATGTTAGTTACACGCCTGGGTCGCACATAGAGATAAAAAATACGTGTGTAGTGTTCCACTGCAAAGAGTACGGAAAATGGTGTGCAAGTGCTCTTCAGCGAATGGTAGGAAGTAGGGCCAGGGTTGTAACGGGAAAGAACATCATTGAAGTGCGGCCTAAAGGCATTGACAAAGGATCCTGCATAGAGAAAGAGTCTCACTACAACTGCTTTACACTCTGTGCAGGAGATGATGCCACAGACGAAGACATGTTTATGGTTCTCCTGGAGGCGCCTACCACATACACAGTCTGTGTGGGCAATAGGAGCACATCTGCCTCATTCCGGACACAGTGTCCAAAGGACCTTAGAGAGCTTCTTAAGTATCTTTACGAATAAATCTCTCCCCATAAGTCTTCTATCTTATTTCTCCAGCAGGCTCATCCAAGTTCTACATGCTTCATGCTAAAGCTGCAATATTTAGTGTTTCACTTAAAAATCTGCGTAGGTGTTTAATGTAAAATAGCCCTCCATTTTATCCTGGGCAGCAGTGCAAAAGAAAAATACAGTGGCACTCTCATTGCAGGGAAGGGGGTGTCTACAAAAAAATAAAACTAAATATTTACTCTGCGCTGAGCTCGCATAAATAACGGTAAAGTGTCTTTTGGCAGATTTTAAAAATGAGAAATACAGAAGAGAAAATGCTGGCGTACGAAGAAGTAAAAGAGCGTCTGGAAAAATACGTACAGGACACAAAATGCACACAGATGGAAACTATGAAATACGTCGTGCAATCAGTGATCAATAGGCCACATGCGCCTGTGAAGCTGAAGGAGAAGCTGCTCGCGTTTGGAGTTACAGAGTTTGAGGCTGTCCAGCTGCTGAATAATCCTCCAAAAAAAATACTCGACCTGTACATTATAGTGGAAGAGCTGGAAGAGCGTCTTTCTGAAGAGAGCATAGGAGAAATTCTTGCTCTTCTTTCTCCTTATGCAGAATAGAATATTTTAACTTTATGGAAGAAGGCAAGAAAACGCACAAGACAGAAAGAAGACGAAGAGACGCAGACGACAGAAAGACGGTAAAAAGCGTTTTGGACAAGAAGACGCTTGAGATAATAGAAAAGCTGCTGAAGCAGGGCCTGCTGATAGAGATGCACGGAGCTGTATGCGTTGGAAAAGAGGCATGCATATATCTGGCAACAGCAGCGTCTTCCATATACAGCCGCATGTGTAGGAAGATTCCAAACGAAAGCACGACCGTTATTCCCGTAGCAATAAAGATATACAAGACTTCTACAATGATGTTTAAAGACAGAGAGAGATACATCACAGGGGAGAGAAGATTCAAACACTATGCAAAGAGAAATTCAAGAAAGCTTGTGAAGCTCTGGGCAGAGAAAGAAGTGCGGAATCTAAACAGGCTGCAGAAGGCAGGAATTCCCTCGCCACAGCCTTTGTTTCTTCGCAGGAATATTCTCATCATGAGCATGATTGGCAATCAAGAAGATGGCACAAGTAAAGAAGGAAAAGTAAAAAAAGACAGTGGCGTCTCTTCTAAAGTGCTGGAGTTTGATGTTGGAGACGACGAGAGTTTTGATGAGAGCGACCTCAATGACAAGGGAAGCGAGAGCTGCTCAAGTGACACAAGAAGAAACGTGACTGAAAGTATGAGCTACACAAGCGATGAAGAAGAGTGCATATACCAAATAAGCGAAGACGAAAGCAGTGATAACGGGCTAAACAATATTAGCATAAGCACTACAAGCGAGAGCAGCCCCCATCCTTTCGAGGGCGCGTCTGATGTTGATAGTGCTAAAGCATGCAATGACTCTCCAACATACAATACACAGGATAGTAACAGAAGAGCACATACTAGCCATGTTTTATCAGAAGAGCCAGAAACATCAAGCGAAGATGAGGACAGTTTGCAGGACTCAGAGTCTAGCGATGACAGTGATTTTTTTGATGAGGCAGAGGGTATAGAAAGAATGTCTATTTTAGAGAGCAAAGAGAGAAGTGATATGGTGGAAAGAGAAGGAGGCCTGGGAGGAATAGCTCCTAATCTAAAACAGGCTGTTCTGCACGAGAGTGAAGTGCAGGATGTATACGACCAGACTGTTCTTCTGATAAAAAGAATGTACAAGGATTGCGGACTTGTGCACGCAGATCTCTCTGAGTACAACATGCTTTACTGGAAAGGCGTAGTCCATATTATAGATGTAAGCCAGAGCGTGGAAAGAGACCATCCAAATGCACAGATCTTCCTGGAAATGGACATTAAAAACGTAAACAACTATTTCACCAGGCTGGGTGCGCAGACTAAAAGCAATGCAGAGCTGCTTAAAGAAGTCACAAGCCAAGAGGTTTTGAGCAAGGATGCATATAGCATGGACGGTGATAGCGCAGACGAGAATAGAGAGACAGAAAGCTGCAGTAGCAGCAGCGTGCTTGAAGAAGAGACAAAGAAAGACCGAAAGGAAAAGAAGAAGGAGGTAAAAGAGGAAAGGCGAAGACAGAGAGAGAACAAAATCTCAAAGAAAGAGAAAAAGCTTTTGAGCAGAAAAGCAAAGGCGAGAGTATTAAAAGAGAGAAATAATAAATTTAATTAAAATTCCCTTCGATAAAAAATTTGTGCTTATGACTGTATTGGTTGATACATTTGAAGTCCCAGCGCACGCCATCATGTCCCAGCTGTACAAAACCATGTGCTATGAAGTGATGCTCGAAGAGGTCCTTGGCAGATCGTATAACGCGCCAAAAGACGGAAAGAAGTACATGATTCTGGAAGACATAAGCCCAAAAACACTTGTTGCGTTGCGAGACGTAGAGCACGTGATATATGTGTTCCACAGAGAAATACTGAGTGAGAGAGAGTACAAAATGATCAAGTACTACACAAACGAGCTGATATATGTGGAGAACAACACCATTAGAATTGTGAATAAGAAAACCAAAAACCAAGAAACACATGCAATAGAAAGATCTGTGGGCGCATGCCACAAGATCACGCATAGAATACACAAAATGGCTAAAGACCCAGAAAAAACAGCAAAGGATGCTCTTCTCACAAAAAAACAAGAGCACAGCAAAGAGGCCTCTCTTCCTTTTCTCCGCGCACAGGCACAGGAGGACGTCTATTTCCCAGAAGAAGAGGAAATGAGCGAAGACTCTGATCTGCTCGAAGAAGAAGAATTGTAACAATAAATTTTCTCTAAAATTTTTTATAATGGCGCATGGCACACAGGAAACCAAATATAAGCTAATTTCAAGAAACCTAGAAGAAATCCTGGGAGGCGAGAAAATGCTCGAAATTCTCAAAACGCGGGATCTGAAGATATACTGGGGGACTGCGCCCACGGGCAAGCCGCACATTGGATATTTTGTTCCAATATTCAAAATTGCCGACTTTCTGAAGGCTGGCTGCGAGGTCATCATTTTAATAGCCGACCTCCATGCAGCCCTGGACAACCTTAAGGCGCCAATAGAGCTCATTGACAAGAGATCAGCATACTACAAGATGGTGATCAAAGCCATGCTGAAGAGTGTAGGCGCTCCCATAGAAAAGATCAAGTTTGTGCTGGGAACAGACTACCAGTACGACCGAAAGTATGTCCTGGATATGCACAAGCTCTCTATGATTGTTTCAATCAACGACGCAAAGAAGGCTGGATCTGAGGTTGTAAAGCAGTCAGACAATCCTCTGCTGAGCGGGCTTGTGTACCCAGGCATGCAGGCGCTGGACGAAGAGCATCTACAGGTGGACGCACAGTTTGGAGGAGTTGACCAGCGGAAGATCTTTATCTATGCAGAGGACGTTTTGCCAAAGCTTGGATACGAAAAAAGAATCCACTTGATGAACGGGATGGTGCCCAGTCTTTCAGAGGGCAAGATGAGCAGCAGTGATGCACAGTCAAAGATCGGGCTGGATGACACAAACAACCAGATAAAGAAGAAGGTCCTTGCTTCGTTCTGCGAGGAGAAGAACACAGAAAGAAACCCTGTGCTGGTGTTTATTGGCAAGTTCGTTTTTAGCACGGGAGATGGAGAAGAAGCCCAGGCTTTCTCCGTCAGCATCCAGAAGATTAGCGAGACAAGGGTGTACACCAGCCTGGAAGCATTGTCGAAGGACTTCAAGGAAGGAACCATCCATCCGCTTGATCTGAAAACAGCCCTTGTGCAGTATTTAATAGATCTTATCTCGCCAGTGCGGGAGGAAATACTCAAGCACCAAGACCTCGTGGACAGTGCATACCCGCTGCCTGTTAAGCAGAAAGTGGTAAAGCAGAAGAAGATAAACAAAAAAAAGACTGAAAAAGAGTAAAGATGCTCCTATACAGTGGAATTTATAGATGCTGGTGCAGCTTTGAGAAGATAAATAAATCTAAAAAGATAACAGTACGTGCCTCCAAGTGATCAAGTTTTTAACACATTTCTGTCTACTCACCCACTTAGAACACTTGCATCAAATGGATAAAGTGCAGTGGCTTTTTTCCAAGAGAATTGCCACAGACTATGAGAGCAGTGCACATTTAATTGCAAATATTTATTTTTGCATGAATCCTTTTGAGTCCATAAAGGGTGGGTATGTAGATCCATCTGTACTATCGTATTTTTCGCTGGTACAAAAGAAAGACGTCAACACGCGCTGCAAAGCACTGCTGCGCATTGTTAGCGACCTAGAAAAGCTTCCGGTAGACTCTGTGGCCCAGTGTCTGTATGACACCATGCCCATACTCTGTAGGTCTGCACAAGAGCCAATAGCCACCTACATCTCTGAGATATTCCTGCACGTTCTGAAAAAAAGCATAGAAGACAGAAGAGTAAGCAGCATATGCCACTGGGTGGGCATGTTCCTCGCGCGCCCGAACAAGACAGGATACAAAGTAGTCAAAACTTTGAGCAAAAACGGTCTGCTAAGAGAAACGCTTGCAGCATACAACAGAACAGCTGATCTAGAGCTGTACATAAAAAGCAAAATGGTCGAGCTGGCTTTTGAAGAGAATGTGGACGTATGTGTAGAGAAAATAAAAAAAGTAAAAACAAAGAGCGAGATGGATATGCTTTCCAAGCTGCTCTCTGTCCTAGAAGAAAAGAAACAGCTGAGCGCAGAAATACGCGAGGCTGCGCTGTCAACTGCCAAGAGTCAGACCGTAGACATAGAGAGCAAGTGGAAGCTGTTTGCTGTTCTTACGACTGGATACACAGTTGAAGAATTGATAGAAGATAGCGCAAAAATAGATGATGCAACTTTTTCATCCATTGTGTGCTCTAAGCACTTTGAGAAGATAGTTGCTGAATACGGTGCTGCATCTTTCATCCAAAACTGTGCCCACCTCCCGGGAATTCTCTTCCCAGCTCTTTTACGCATAGTAAAGGAGAGAAAAACCGTCCTCAAGAAACTTCTGCAGAGTAATACCACAGGCTTTGAGCACATAGAGCTGGAGATAGAAGATTTCCCGTATGCCAACACGATAGGCTGCTACAACCGGGTGAATGAAGTTCTGCAGAAAGCTCCCATTCACGATACAAAGGTCTATGCAGAGCTGACATCGAAGGAAAAGATTATCCGGGCAGACATTTTGGGAGAAAAAATAGAGAACATTAGCCCAGAGGTCACTTCGCAGATAAGCATCAGCTTTCTCAGAAGAGAAAAAATATTCGAGGAAGGCGTCAGAGTGCTTCCTGTTTCGTTCTTTAGAAACGAGGACGAAAGCTTTACGCAGGAGGAGCACATATACGTTGCAGCACAGCACCCGCAGCTTGCCTCAGAAAAAACAATCGATCTGATCTTCGTGCACAAACTTTTCATTGTGAAGATACTGAGCAGTCTTTCAGACGACTTGATGGCATATCTTATGAAGCGAATAGGGAGCGAGCCTGCTGATGTCGTGCACGAGGTGTATGAGCTTATAAGAGAACACATCGACACAAAGTACGAGTTTAAGCTGCTGGGAAAGATCTATACAGGCAGAAACTACAGAAAGGAGCACTTTAAAAGAAAACTTGTGCTTACTGAGGATGTAGAAGAAAGCTATCTTGTCTACCTCATTGAAAGAGAAGCAGTTGATGAAGAGAGCGTGTTCAAACATATTGTGCAAGACGCCAACAAGAGTGCCACAGGTACACAGGATGTAACAGATGCATACATAGAACTCTGCGAAATCATAGAAAATAAAGAAGCAACTCAGGCAGCATCTAAGTATGTATTTGGGAATGCTTACTCAAAATGGAAAAAAGTCCTTGAGTCTCTCGCAGATAAAAATCTATCCACGCTGCTAAAAGATATTCTGTGCATAGAAAGTGCCCTGCCAAGTTTGGCAGATGCTTCCCTGCCTGAGTGGATTCTCACACAGGGATTGGTAGGGAAGATCGCAGAAGGAATGCTCTTTTGGAAAGATATTTACAGCAAAAGAATGCCTTGTGTTCTATCTGCTCTTATGGAAAAAAAGGCAATAGACGAGGGACCAGCTGAAAATAACGCAGGAGTTTTGCTTAAAGAAATGATTATAAAGATGTATGTAGATGTACTAGCCAATACTCCAATTGAGGAAAGTGCGCTTAAAAACCTATCTAAATTATCTGTTGAAAAGCTGCCAAAGGAGGACAGAGCTGTTCTAGCATATATGCTCCTAAAGATACAGAAAAGCACAAAACAGTCTCTACTGTCTATCTCACTCAAAGATGCACATGCCTTGCACAGTAGAGTCCTCTCTCTGGTCATACAGGACAGTGCAGACTTGCAAGACATAGAAGATCTAGACTTTACACATCTCAGCAAAGAGAGCATTTCCCACATACAGACACATCTAGAGAGCTCCCCAGAGAAGGCTGCGGTGTGCATTAAAAGCGACTCTGTCTGGGAGATGGGAAGTAACATGCACAGACAGGAGATGTACACTCCTGTTTTAAAAGCCATTGCAAAACACTATGCAAGCTCCATCCTCAACGTGTATAGTATGTCAAAGGTGGAAGAAGATGCAATCGACTCTGAAGTCTTCTACATGCTCTTTGACATACCGGCAATAAAAGACATAAAGAACATGACCACATACGAGTGGAGGCTCTTTCTTACAATCTGCAGCGAAGTTCGAAGCATTGAAATCCGCTCTTTGATTTCGGCAATGGTAAGGGCAGAGTGCAAGTGGCTTGCATTCCTGATATCAAGCGAAACAAAGGCCCTAGACCTTCTTGGCCTCTTCGCAAAGAACTTCCCTGTTCTTGCGCGAATATTCTTTAAAAGCAGCAGAAATGCCAGACAGCTGCAGAAATACTTTATTGCACAGGTGACCCCGCAGCTCATTAGGGAAGAGGCCAGCCGTCCGCTGCAGGGCGTTAAGATTAAAGTGAAAACCATTGCAGAAACACACATAGTTGTGGCAATGTACAAGATAGAAGAGTCTGAGCTGGAGGTAAACATCAACTTCCCAAAGGACTATCCCCTTAGTACACCAGAAGTAAAAGTTGTCCGATGTGTGGGAGTTAAGAAACAGAGGCTGCAAAGGCTTCTTCTGCGAATACAAATGATAATGGCTGAACACTGCAGAATTGGAGAGGCTCTCGCTCTCTGGAAGATGGCACTTGATAAGGCAGTGGATGAGATAGAGGAGTGCGGAATCTGTTTCTTTATGGTTGACGAGGCAACAAAGAACTTCCCAGATGCAAGCTGCTCAAAGTGCAGCAACCAGTTCCACGGAATGTGTCTTAAAAAGTGGCTGGAGAGAAGCAAGAACTTGTGCCCCATCTGCAGAGAAGAGATCAAATCGTAAAAAGAGAATCAGTCTTGGAAAGTAGAAATAAATAAAACAACAATAAGAATCTCAGCAGATAATGTCTTTCTTTTTGAATAATATCACCAGCGAGCAGATGTTTGAAGAGCTCCTGCAGGACCACCGAATTGCTTTGGTTCGATTTGGGTTCTCAGAAAGACCCGAGTGTGTGCGGCTGGACCGCCTTCTTTCTACGCTCAATAAGTCTGTGCACAGATACTTTGCAATTGCAGCGTATGAGATAAAAGATGTCACGCCGCCCCTAAGAAAAAAATACAAGATTACAGACAGCGCCCAAAACATTCTAGTGTTCTTCTCCAAAGGAGTGCCCATCTATGTCTCCTTTTGCAAAAGGCCAAACTTCCAGATTACAGAGGAAATCCCAGGCTCTGAGGAGCTGCTTTCTCTTCTTGTCACAGTGCACCAGGGAGTCACACACAATAAAAGGATAATCAACGTATATGGCACATGTTTTGAGGGAAACAGAAGCCAAAAGAGGAAAGAAGACACTTGATGCAAATATTTTAGCCAGCTTTATTATTTAATTTTGCATATGTTTGGAATGTTAGTGCCAATAAATCGATCTTTTATTACAGAGACTTCTTTTTTATTTATGAAATGGGGAGGGTGCGTGCTTAAGACAAAGAAAACAACGTATCGATTCAAGAGCCAGATAATACAGTGTGCACAGATAGGTGATTTTATTGTTGCTGTTCTGGAAAGAAGTATCATTTTCATAGAGAAGTCAGGTGAGCTTATAAAGCATCCCACATGCAAGATCAGAACAGCTGGGTTCTTGTCTGCAGGCGTCATATACTCGGAGGAAGACAGTCTTTGTCTGAAATACATAACGCATCCTTATGAAACTATACACTCTTTCTCTCCGATTAGCCTTCCATTTGACATTGTGGCTGCCCATAAGGATAGATTTGTTCTTCTGTGCGGAAGTCCTGATAAAGTGCATGTAAACATATACAGAGGAGCGCCACCGAATGCAAGCCTGGTGTTTTCTTCGGAAAGAGAGGGCATTGTGAAGATATACATAAGAGGAACACGGCATGCAATCGTTCAGGAAAAAAGCGTTATTGTGTGTGCACTGAGCCGGCGTTTGAACGAGTCAAAAGTCAAACGGGAGATAACCTATACTCCAGTGTCAGGAGCAGTTGAAAGCGTTATTCCGATAAAGATGACACGCGGGGCGTATTTTCTGGTGAATGGTGCAGAGGTAATAAGTGAGTATGGGCTTGTGTTTAACATAGCAAGTATTCCGCCTGAGACGCTTAGCAAATACATCACTCAAAAGGCGCTAGCACAGATAGAGATAGTAAAAAGAGGGAAGTACTGTATAAACGAGCTATCCAGCTTCTTCCAGTACGCCTCAAGTGGGCAGCGGCTCTTTGGAACAGTTATGCCCTCGGAAAACATGCACAGCATACTCAAGGCGTATGTTCCGTCCTCTGGAGTGTCTCTAGATAGTCTCTTTTCGAGCGAAATAATGGCTCTTTCGAAGAAGTCAGTGGAGAAGATCTCAGCGCACATAGAACAGATTGCGCATGTGATCAAATACATCCACACAATAAAAACCGTTCTTTTCAGAGACATGGCAATCCGAAACAAAAACAGCAATAAAAAACGGGCGTATCTCTTTTGGATGCTAAGCACGGGAAGCCTGCCTAAAAAAGCCCTGGAGTACGAGATATTCTCGTACAAAGAAGATCTTTTGCAGAGATCAAAGAACATCGGGTACCTTCTTTTGAAAAGCGACCAGAGAATAAGAGAAATGCACCAGATCTTCGCAGAAGATGTCTCGGTTTCGCACACCCTTGAAGACCCTGAGCACATTCGAGAGGTGCCCTCTCGTCTGCGAAACACTGGCGTCATTGAAGAGTGCAAACGGCTGCTCTCTGGGCACCAGGTGTGCGACTTTTTATTCGACGTGTATGACACAGAGAACAGAAGGAAAAAAGCGTTTATTTTTTCCAGTATAGCCTCAGTTGGGCGCGGTGTCTTTTTTCTGAACAGAAATAATCAGGTGAATGTCTTCCAGGTGCCTCAGCTAAAAGTGTTTCTAAAGAAAAACAGCAATGTGGTGAGTGCCACAGACCTTGTCGACTGGGACAGCATGTGGCCTTCCTTCCACTTTGCTGTGGCAACTTCTCTCTCTATCCCAAACAGACCTTTTATCTCGACAAGCCACATTGAAATAATGACGCCTCGGTCTTTGATGGCGCTTGCAGGATCCATCTTTGGGTTTGGGCTGAAGACAGCCGTGTGCCAAAACAATCTGTCAATAGGCGAAAAGCTGAACCTTTCGCGGTCTTTGATTCTGTCGCTTTCTAAGAGCCACGACAGCCTTCTGATAGCAGCAACGGTTCTTGGAAACTCTTTCATCATTAAAGAGACGGGGAATAAAGACCATGCTAGAATTATACGATTTAACATGCAGTCCCCCACTTCACCCAGCCACTTGCTCCTCTGGAGCGTTCTTTCGCTGGGAATTCTGTACATGGGACATGACGATCTTTTTGCCAAACAAGCGCTGATAGAGTATATGCAACGAAAAGGAGCAATATGCTCTAGCAGCATGCCAAATAAGAAGTCATACTACGATAAATACCACAGAGTTGCAGCAGCATTTTCGTTTGCGTATATAATGCTGGGCTCGCGTGTGAAAGAGTATGTGAGGCTTCCCGATCGGACATGCGAGATTATTGTAAACGGCCTTGTGCATATGAAAAGCGGCTGGGAGAAGATATCCTCTCTTTTGGAAGAGAACTGTGTGCAGTCCAGCCCGCTTAACAGGTTCTATGCATCTCTCATGACAACTCTCGTTTTGGGAGACACCTCCAAGTACAAAGAGACGCTTAAAGAGGCTCTAGAGGAGGTTATATGCGTTGAAAACACATACAGCCTAGCAGGGAAGATTCTAGCATACGGGCTCCTTTTTATTCCAGAGATTGGCAAGAAGCCCCAGGAGAAGTTTATATCAGACATCACAAGCCTGCTTTACAATCTGGAGAGATCTCGCAGCGAGCATCCCATTCTGCTCGACTACACATTGCTTGCATGCTGTCTGGTTTTAAACTCAACGGGCGATCTGTGCATTTTGGGCACCTGCAAAAGGCTGCTGGACTCTCTGAGGTGCATAGACGCTTTGGAGAAGATAACGGACTTCAGCCCTTCAGCTGGAAACTATCGCGAGCAGTACGGAATGCGCTTTGGAAGAATCCAGCACATAAAAATGTGTCTTTCTCTTCTTGTCCCAGGGTGTGGGTCAATGCGCATCTCGCCCACCCAGAAATCCATAGCATTTATTGTGACAAGTTTCTATCCAGAGTTTCCTCTTACTCCCGAGGACCAGGATGCATTCCAGGTGATTAGACACTTTTACTTGTTGTCTCTTGTGCCAACTGAAGACAGCACACAAAAACAAGTGGATAGAGCCCTTGCGCTTGACATTGGGGAAGAGCTCAAAACAGCAGAGAAGGTGGACAAGAAGGCAGCAGTTGACATTATAACATCGTACTTTGAAAAAAACAATTTAAAGTCATTTAACTCCAACTGCATAGAAACACTGATAACAAATCTGTACACAGACCTATTGTAGACAGCTTTCCTATTTTAAATGGGATACACTGCTACTGGTATCAAATGAAGAATAAAAACAGCATATCTTAAATTAAGGTTTTTTATTGGGGAAGAGGATAAGGCCCTTTGATTCTGTTTTTCTCATACATTTGGAGACTACAGAATATAATAATATTGATATAACTGCCTTGCTTAGCCCAGTGCTTTTAACAGTTTGATTTATCCATTCATTTTACCTCACCAGATGTGCACTTGGTAACAGCTGCATTTTCTTTTTTCAGGAAGCGCAGGATCATATTCCAAGGGACATCTTGAAAGAGGTGAGCTTCCGGGCTATTTCAGCTAGGTTGTGGATCTGGCAGAAAGCGATTGCCTGCTCCAGCACAATCTTCTTGCTGCGCGGGTTAGCATGCTCTGGGCTTGTCGCCTTTCTGTCTAGCATATCAGCTATTTTCATGATGGAGCCGCCCAAAGAAACCAGGGCAGACCCAATGTTCTCTCCCTCTTGCGGTGCTTCTATTTTTTTTCTTAGGAGAATGTCAAAGACTAGATCTATGGGAGCCCCCTTCATGATTTCGGGGTTGCTCTTTAGAATTTCTATGTTTTGTGCATAGGACCCGGACAGAGCGTCTTCCCACAGCTCTTTCATCAGACGGACATCTTCTATTTCTCCCTTGTTCGCTATTTTCAGAGCAAGCAGCGAGAAGCCAAACACCACACATATCTCAAAGAGCTCTTCAAAGCTTAGCAGACTCGTGTCCAGCCGAGTAAAAGTCTCTTCCACCATGGCCTTCTGCTGCGAGGCTCTTTCCTGGACACTGTATGCGCACGAAAGCGCAGCCATCACTTCGGTCTGTCTCTGCGCCATGCTCAGCCTTTCCTTTGCGTCTGTGCCAAGACGCGATGTGTAGTTTTTGATGTGTCCTACCACTGGAAAATCGTTGCTCTTTTTAGAGGCAGACTGCATGGTGCTTGCTATTGACAGATACTCTATTCTCTTCTGGAGCCCAATTGCTGGGCTCTTTCTCTCTGACGACCTCAGCAAATAGAGGGCTGCTATGGAGTAGTTCTCGTTCTTGAAGTGGTACTTCCATATGAGATCGCACAGGTCTAGCCTATCTGAAGTCCTGTCAAGGCGGTCAAGATAGTCTTCCAGATACGGCGACTTGATTTTTAGCAGCACATCGCTCGATAGCTCCCCTTCCTTTATCTTATTTATGGCTGAGTTCAGCAGCGCATTGCACAGCGCAGGCCTTTCATCTCGCAGCCCTTCCTGCAGAATTTCTTCGGTGCATTCTATCTTTTTGAAGTACTTGGTGGCTTGCTCCTCTGTGATGGAGTTAAACCCGGCCCGCACTGCAAAGAGAATGCCCTTAGAGAATCTTACATTGGAGTACATCTCCACAATCTCAGATAGATACTTCTGTGCTGCGGTCTTTGTGAAGAACTCCATGCTTTTCATGAGATACCACCTTCTGTCCTCCTCGGTTGGTGCTCTGATGGCCTTCTCTATTGCCTCCTTTCCTTTCAGCAAGAGCGTGTCTGTGAGCGCAAAGAGGGTAGAGCACTTCTCATTGAGCTCTGCTGTTACTCCATCTATAGATGCTTTCTGGCTTAGGTTGAGATCAACCAGTGCATTGAGCGTTGCTTTCCTTAGATCTGTCACAGGCACAAGGAAGCTGCTGAAGGTAAAGTGCAGAGGG